CTCCTCGGCAATTGCTTGCGCAGTGAGTTTGAAGTCGCCGGTAACCATGAAGATGCGGATCGAGGCGCCACGGAGGATGCGCACGACATCTGAGATTTCGTCACGAGGAGGGTCAACGATGCCGACAATGCCTACGAATGTAAGACCGTCGCGGATCGAGGCGAGGACGTCTTTTTCTTGGGCTCCGGAGGTGGCAACCATGGTGGGCTTGCGGGCGAGAAGGATGACACGTTTGCCCTGGCGCGACCAGTCGTCCTTGACACCTTCGATCCACTGGCGTTTGAGATCCGACATGACGACTTCTTCGCCTTGCTCGTTCAGAGCAAGTTCACAGCGGGGCAGGAGGATATCTGGGGCGCCCTTGACGAGGAGGGTACCGACGCTGCTGGTGCTGGGCTGATCACCAGCGACCATGATTCTAACCATGAACTTGTTCTTGCTGTTGAAGGCAATCTCAAAAGTCTTTTTCCACTGGTTCCTGAGCTCACTGACTGAGCCAAAGGACTCAGACAGTCGGAGAATAGCTTGGTCCGTTGCGTCGCCGTTGATCTTGCGATCAGCAATAGGCAAGTGCATGGTCGCGGCGTCGAATTCGCCAGAGTTACAGAGACCACCAATGACGCGGATCTGGTCGACAGCGGCAGGCCTTGGTACTGTGCCATCAGTTATGAACGCAGCCGCAGCCATTTCTCTGAGCGCTTCATCGACAGTGTACGTTTTATCCACGGAACACACATCGGTGACCACCATCTTGTTCTTGGTCAGAGTACCGGTTTTGTCAGAGCAGATGACGGAGACAGAGCCCAGTGTTTCGACCGTCTTGAGCGACTTGCAGAGAATCTTGTTCTTGCGCATCATGTTGGCAACGATGGTCAAGCTCGTAGTGAGCGCAATGGGGAGACCCTCAGGGATGACTAGGCACAAACTAGAGTCAGTGTGCGTTCAGAGCATATAAATTTCAAGGTACTCGTACAAGCAACAGCCGCAGAAACGCAACTGACGATGAGCTGGGGCACATTGATCCATTCGGGATGTGCTTTTCGCAGCCAAGCGGCCCTGAACTGTGTAAGTATAGATCCTTCATACGATGACCAAACCAGACAAGCTTACCAGAGAATGATGATAAAAACCACAACGCAGAAGATAAAGGCGGAAATAATGAGGACAAAGTGCCAAATCTCCTTTTGTAGGGGGGTCATGCCAGTCGTGGGGTTAGAAGTGAGCTTTGCGATGCGGCCGAAGATCGTATCGTCACCAGTCGCCACACAAACACCCACACAGCTACCAGAAACACAGTGTGTTCCTTGCATGCCGATGTTGTTTGTTTCGAGGTAATTGTCTTCAGTTTGGTTGACGGTGGCATTCACTGGCTCGGATTCGCCTGCGAGGCGTTAGTCTCTGTCATTCAGATGCACACAGACAACAACTTACCCGTAAGAATAGCGCGATCGAACATGGCATCTCCAGAGACTTCAATAAAACGAACATCTGCAGGAAGCTTGTTGCCCTGCTTGATGATGATGACGTCTCCGGGAACCAAGTCCTGAGCTGAAATGCTCGTCTGCGAGCCGCCGCGAATCACGATACACTGATCTGGAAGCATAGTACCAATGGAAGCCATAACCTTGCTCGTCGACCAATCCTGCCACGCGTTGAATCCCGCTTGAATGAGCCAAACAGCAATCAAAACACAGGCAAGCGCCAAGTTGGCGGTCGCGGGGGGAGAGCCCAATGGTTTCCAGGAGATGAATACCAGGATACCCGCAATGACCAGGATACTTCCGAAACCGCCAAAGAAGTATCCGATCAGCTTGCCCACGAGTCCAGAGGGAGGAGGAGTAATCTTGTTTGGACCATACTGGTTCCTGAGTCGCCTGACGTCGTCGTCGGAGAGACCGCGCTCAGTGTTGACAGACAGACGCTGGCACAGGTCGGGGACGGCAAGAGTATGCCATTCCAGGCCCGCAACATCTGCAATGCAGGGTCAGTATACTTGTACACAAGACGAGTCGAAAGAAAAAAAAAGGTCGTAATCACCGACTGCTGCTTTCTCCTTTGCCTTTTTCGTTTCGGCCTGTTTCTCAAGTTGACGCTCGTCAACCTCAATGGACAGTGTGCGGTAGGCAATGGGCAGAGCAGTTTCTGGCTGAACCGTACGGGCTCCGCCAGCGCTGCGAATAGACATGCTGCCCACGCTGGACCGTCTTGACAATGGCCGCTCATGGCGCCGGTCGTGTGTCACGTATCCATCTGCTTCGGCGGGATGGTTGAGCTCCCCAAATCGAACACGGGGAATTCCTTTCTCTTCGTTGTCCATATGAGAGACAGAGAACGCGGTTGGGTGGCTGGCTGGCTCTCAGAGATGACAATGGACAGGTGAAGGGAAGAAGAGGGAACGTATTCAGTCAAGCAATGGCTTCGGTCATTTATGTCAAGGGCTTATTTTATATATGATGCAACCAGCCAGCCCCAGCATCGGGATAGCTTGCTCTTTCGTTTTTCTATTCTACTAACAGTAGTATCCCGCCGTGGGGCCTCAAAGGTAAGGCTCCAGGCTCGCAACGGGCGCTTCTCTTGCCTGTCTTGCATGTCCTTGTTCGAGCCCGCGTGTATGATTACAAGCACCAAGCATGACATAGCCGCATACCAGCAACGACAAATGACACGCTTGAGGCCCTGTTTCCTGGGCCCATTCGGCGCGATTGGACGCACAAATACCTCACCGCATTTGATAGAAAAAAGGAGCGAAAGAAGCGGTGCAGGGGAGTGCCTAGGTAGAGCCGGCTGTCACATTGCACGACAGCAAATGCCACGGCATTGTTGCTACTCCGGTAAGATGGTCGAGTCCAAACTGTTGGTGGTTAGTCATGAGCGATTTTCGAATGCCCGCCATAGCCACCATCTTAAACGGCAGACTAAGCTCCCCCCCTGCAAGCTTGCGCGATTTTCCATTTTCTGGGATTCTGTATCATAAGTGCCCTCTGCAAGTTCTTGTGACTACGGCTTGCTACTTCGAGAGGGTTACCCCGGCGAAGGATCTCGACATGGCTTGCTTGGTGACTCCATGTGTACATAATATACGCACTCACACGCGCATAACACGTAATATTCAGCTCATCTCCAACACAGCCTCCCCCCCAAATGCCGCCCCCGAAAAAAAAAACGCCATCCTTCCAAAAAGTCACGTACCGAACAAAGAAGAAAGGATTTTGACATGTGTCTCTTGCAAGCAAACTTGTACGCTCGCCGCCCGCCGCCGTGGTAACTTTTCAAAGTGCGGCGACGGCGGGCGGCGAGCGTCATCAAAGCAAACCCAAACTACGTACTTTACATATACGACCGCACAGACAAACAGACTCCCGGGCATGCAGGGCAAAAAAAAAAAAAAAAAACCTGTTTCCGCATCGTCAACCTGGTGCGAACAACCCCCCAAAACAGGTTAGGAGCGGGTGGGGGGAAAGGACAACAGTGCTAAACGACATAAAACGCTCTCTCGTAGGAAGGGATGTGGTTGGTTCCTACCTACGTACTAGGAACTTTGCAGCTTTTCGGGGGGGAGGGGTGGGTCACACCCGCACGCGACACGGGGGACCCGGGCGACGATCAACAAGCCTTTTTCTGTTCCCAAGAATCCTAGCCTTGCTATTACTGGGCGTGCGCCCCAGCCTTCCCTTCATTTTGTGGGGACCTTTTTTTTTTAAAGGTTACTGACTTACTAGTATTATCCGCTTTGTTGGATGATGGGCGTAATGTGATATGGGGACACCCCTACGATTGCCAACGGCTTTGGCAAGGGGTGTCTGCCATCGGCTTCGGTGTTCCAATTGTAGGTTGCGCCCCCGTCGGTGGGCGAGAGAAAGTGTGTGTGTATGTATGGCATGATTGTAGCATAGTGCAAGGAATGTGCAAACTTGTACATACGCAAGTATGCGCGTATGACCGGCTGGGTTGGCTGTGCCGTTGGTCAGCGCATACGCTCTGGGAAAAGCCTGTGAGATGGGTCATCGATCGAAGCCATCATGCCAAATCGTGCTTCTCATAATTCTCGGTGTGTATGGTATGCTGGAATCTCGACGATTTTGCTTTGTTCGCTAAAGAACGGTTCTGGGACCGCCGTTGCGAAGAGTCGGTCCGCTTCACGTTCAAGAGCACGCTCTACCGCTCGGGTGTGCTTGTCCTCGTATTGCATACAGCCACCTGTAAGGCATTCCGTCTCGGTCCTATGCTTTACAGCGCAGATCTTTTGGTTGGCGAACGCCCTGCAGGAACTGGACAGTGACGATCTTAGGGACAAGTTACTCTCGCCGTGGGTCACTGACCGGGAAATTGCGCCCTTGTTCATTCCCGTATGTACGCCGATGTTGGGATTAGAACTAAAATGTGCGGTTCATCGTACGCCCTGTCGTACAGCATACTGCGGGTTGGCATATACGACAGAACGTGTTGGGGTCCCTGGCCAAGTAACAAATACCAGATTATTCAGTTTTCTATACCAAAAACGTCCTTCCCACACTATACCATTCAATAGCTATTCGCGGTCTCTTCTATTGAGTTTTTTTTTCCTACGAGTTCTATGACTTCTTACTATACAACTATGTACTATTGAAGATTCTTTAAGATGCTTAAAAACTGTTTTATGAACATTTATCAAGGGAAGAAGTGAAAGCAGGGAAGACGCGCTTGTCTCCTGTTATGAATAAATTACCAGTAAATTTAGACTACTTAGTGTTTCCGAACTGACTGCAAAAGATCCGTATTACACATGGTCGTAATCCCTGCATGTTCTGTCGAATATGCCAGCCCGCAGTATGTCGCATGGGTAGACGATGTAATGGGTATTCTAGCACGCCGGGACGTTGGCTCGATCCGGGAGAAGGTCACCCTAGGGCTTGTTTAGGTATTTGGTAAATTGTCGGTTTTTTTTTGCCTGGAACTGTCTTGGCTTGAAGAGGCGATAGGCCATAATGACAGGTTCCCCTCCTTGGCTCTGCGGGTTGAACGTTTGCAGGTTTACAGTACACCAGTGAAGTCATCACTGCACTCTGAGGTTGTGATTCGACAAGATTTCATTGTTTTTTTTTGTTTCACTACGGTTCTTTCTCTTCAAAAGTGAACACTGCTCGATATCCGGAAAAAATGGTCGAAACATGACAAATCAAGCAAACTCAACCACATTCTTCAGTGTCCCAACATGCGGCTTCACACTGACCTCAACCACATCCCCCGGCTTCAAAAACTGCGGCGTCGCCATCGCATACCCCACACCCGCACACGTGCCCGTCATAAACACGGTGCCTTTCTTCAGCGTAGTCCCCTGACTGCAATACGCCACGAGCGTCGGAATCTTGAAGCACAAATCATCGATGCCGGAATCCTGGCGCAATTCGCCATTCACCCGCGTCTGCAGCTGCAAAACACTGGGATCGGGGATAACGGCCGTGCTGACGATTTGCGGGCCGAGAGGCGCGTACGTGTCGAAGCCCTTTGAGAAGTTCCATTGCGGGACGGTGCCAGCGAGGAGGGGGTCGCGCTGGAGTTTGCGGCTCGAGACGTCGTTGCCGGAGAGGTAGCCGCCGATGTAGTTGAAGGCGTCGGCTTCGGAGACGTCTTTTGCGTCGCGGGAGATGATGAAGCAGAGTTCGCCTTCGTAGTCGGCTTGGTTGTCCTGGGCGATTTTGGGGATGACGATCGGGGCGTTGTGGTCGGTTAAGCAGGTGTTTGCTTTGATGAAGGTGGAGGGGAAGGGGGGAAGTGTGCGGCCTCCTTCTTGGACTATTTTTGCTCAAGTAATCAGTGGGTGGTTTCATGGGTGGTTTTTTCTTGGAATAACGAGAGAACGCACTGTGCTTGATGAAGTTCAGTCCTATGCATCGGATGATTGGGACTTCATCCTGTGTCACGGGACCGAGAAGCTTCTTCACAGTCACTTCCTCATCTGTGACTTTTGTCGCTGGGTCGAAGATGTCGTTGTTTTTTACGTCGATAACTTTGGCCTTTAGGCCTGTTTCCTCGGTTGTCGTCCCGATATCAAAGTCCGCAGAGGGGAGGATTGGTTGACCCCGCAGCTCGCGGCCGTCTGTCGCAATGAAGCGGATAAGTCTGTCCCAGTTTGGTGCCATTATGATGGTATTGTTCAATCAAGGGTTCTGAACCAAGGATTCTGAGTCTGACAGGCTGCTGTTTGTATGGCAGGATTCGAATACTTATGTACCTTGGGTATATGTTCTCCCGAGGTGACTTGACGCGATGTCGGAAAGATGCGGATTTGACAGGGGGTTGGAGGTTAAAGTGGGGCGCCGTCTGGTGGTACACGACCATTATCGGAGATTTTTGTATCACCGTTCAAATGTACTAGGATGTATCTCCAAAACACGGTCTAAGCCTGTTCCAGATTCTAAAAAAAAGCTCAAATCTATTCGTGTAATTTGTGTCGTCTTTCAAAACGTAATACGAACTTCCGCCAATCCATCTATCAATCCCACCCAGACTCTGCACTCTAAATCTTCGCCTTAGCCTTGCTCTTCTCCTCCAACTCTCTCCTCTTCACTTCAAACCTCTTCATTGGCGCACCCTCGACGAACCGCTCCGCAAGCGCATCAATCGAATTGACGACCGCCATCATCCTCGCATCTCTAATGGGCGCATTCTGCAACCGCTTCATCTCAATCATGCTCTTGCCATCATTCACCTTCAACTGCTCCTCCAAGAAATCTACAACCTTGTTTTGAAATTCGTCGCCCGTCGCGTCCCAGACATAGTTGTACAGGCCTGCATCAAGCAGTTCTTGCGCAGTGAGCTTGCGACCAAACATGAGAAAGTCGTTTGCACGGTGGATGCCCATGTGCTGGGCAAAGGACAGCGCAGATCCGTTCTCAGGCACAAGGCCGAGAGCAGAAAAGGGGCATTGGAGCCATGCAGTCGATGAAGCAAGTACTATATCTGCGATACCAGGGAACCATGCTGCACCGCCACCGACAGCAGGGCCGTTGAGCGCAAGGATGAAAACCTTCTTGTGATCAATCATTGAGCGTAGAAGTTCAGTTGCTAAATACACGTGTTAGATCGACTACTGATTCTTGATATCGGATTCAGTAAACTTACCATAAGTAAACCTCCCCAACTGCACCAACTTGTTCTCGGCCTCATTCTTAAATGCCTGTCCACCCACCCCGGCAACAGCCTTGACATCCGCGCCCGCCGAGAAAAACCGGCCTTCGCCCGTTAAAACGGTGAAGATGGTATCTGGATGCTCATTGAGGACGCGCAGCGCGGCAATGACTTCGGGGATGATGTTGCCGCCGAAGGAGTTGAGCGCTTTCGGGCGGTTGAACTTGGATAGGTGTCAATCATGTTTATATCCAAGAATAAAGATGCGTGTAGATGGAGAAAATGGAGAAAAGTGGTAGTACCTTGATTATGCCGATTTGGTTGCGGATTTCGAATATGATATCCGAGTATTGGGAGGAAGACATGATGAATAGTCGATTGTTTTCTTCTACTGGTTCAAGATCCACGAAGCGAGTCTATCTCAAAGCGGTTATGGGAAAGGTGGAGATTTCCCTTTGATCTTTGGAAACGTGATGATGGTGATAACCCCCCGATTGAATAGTAATCCCCGCTGCTTTCCCCGCAAGAATCAAGCGAATCGAATCGTTGTGGCCGAGGTTCGGCAAAACGCGTGGACGCGTCGAAAGTGGAGCAAAGCGACGGAAAGTTTGGTTGAGAAACGTGAGAGGAGGGGAGAGCGGAGCACCCTATGGGAGATGAGATGGCTATGGGCGTTGTAGTGGTATTGCAGTGGAAAGGTGGTGTCTGACCGTCTTCTGCGACTTACCTCGGCACATTCATGAGGCGCGTCATCACGAGCTTGGACGTTTGTAATGGTGGTGGACAGCTCGAAACGGTTACATTGCATACACTGCTGAGGCTCGCATTCAGAGACATGTATTCTATGAAACAAGTATAATTTTAGAAGAGCGGCTATTATCATCCATCTATTCATACAAATCTCCATGACCGTCTATCCCTCAAACACACCGTGGTTCAACTCGACACCAAAGTCCTTGGCCATAACGCGCATATGCGCCTCAATGTCATCTTCCATGCCTCGACCCACGCCAATCAGCTGCTTGATCTTGCTCCAGAAGAAGACTGCATCGCTGAGCGCCAGTACAAAACGAAATCGCAGATGCTGAACCCAGTTCTTCCAACGTTCACCCACACCCAGATCCTTGCTCTCGATTAGGGCTCTGCTAGCCCACAAGCCAGTGATCTTGATCCGATTGACTGGAGAGCCGAGAAACTGATTATTACCCTGAACGATACGCAGGTTGCGCCCGATGAAGAGAAGTTCACGCGGGAATTTGGCGTCGTCGCCAAGGATAAGCTTGATTGCATCGCGTCCTTTGGCTTGCATTTCAAAAGCGCGCTCGGCTTGGTCTTTGCCCTTGCGTTCGGATTTGAGGACTTCAGCTACGCTCTTGTCACCGCCTTCGTATGGGCGCATGAGCGTTGCAGAGGCGAAAATGTCGGCATGTTTGACGCCCCAGCTGCTAACAATCTCCTCGATTTTATCATTGTCGAAAGCCAATAGTGATTTCCAGAACGTGGCATATTGAAGGCGGAACTTGGGATCCATGCGAATGTACAGACCGTGGTCGATGAGGACAACTTCGGGTTGTCCGTTGGGGAGGCGGCGAACGAAAACGTTACCTGGATGCGGGTCACAGTGCACAGTTCCCCATAAGAACATTTGCGCCGAAAAAAGATCTACAATGGTATTCATTGTAGACTTCAGAGAGACGCCTAGACCGCCCTTTCCGTCCTTGCCCCGCCAGTAGCTGCGATCCGGCTTGAAGAAATCATGCCTTGTAGCATCTTCTGGAGCATTAGTGTCCACCGGCGCATCTTGTGGGATAGGCGGTAGTTGTTCCCCGCCTGCACCTGGGCTGCCGCGACGCCATCCTCCTTTCCAGTTGTTTGTAATGCCCTCCTTGTCCCATAACCTGACTCCCTCTATCCACTCGGCTGTCATAACTCGCTTGCTGGAAAGTTCGCGGTAAACGGTGGGTATGTAAACTCGTCCATTGAGTCTTGGCTCTCCAGACACCAGTCTCTTCATCTCTACAGCGTTGTTTGCCTCATTTTCAAAATCCGTTTCTAGCATCAGGCGCTCTGATATGTATGGCACGAGGGTATAGACAGGGATTCCGAACCACCATGTATATACTTTGGAGACAACCTTGAAAGCCCAGAGATCCCATCCGACCTGTTGTGCAATCTCTCGCTTCTGGATCTTGATGGCTACTTCTCTTCCATCTGCCAGCCTTGCCCAATGGACCTGGGCAACACTTGCACTAGCTCGAGCAGTCTTCTCCATGATACCTCGGCCATCTTGCTTAGTGAAGCCAATGCCAAAAACCTCCTCAACGCTCTTGCCAAAGTCTTCCTGTATGACCTGCTCCACCTCCCACCACTCGTTCTGCGGCGCATCGTCAAACATTTGCTGAAACATCTTCTGGAACTGTGGCGGGAGGATGGCACTCTGCATAGCAATGGCCTGTCCAATCTTCAGATACAGCCCGCCATTGTATCGCAGAAGATCAAAGATCCTCGTCGCATTCCTGGCATGGAGATCCTCGATACTATTTGCAAGTGGTGGGTGCGCACGGAAATTGATCTTGTAGTCGATTCCAATCAAGAGGCCGACTTTGAATGTGCGCAAGCTGCGAGTGATGGACGAGGCATTGAACTGTCGGTCAACTGCCCACCCTGCGCCGAGCAGTGCGGAGACAGCAGCGAGTCGACGCACCCATTTTCGACGAGTAAAAGGGGGCTTGATTTTGCGCTGCCTGGGTTTGGGCAGGTCGGCAGGGTTCGGAGGGCGCAATGGTTCCCATGCTTGTGTCTGCAGGCGGCGCGCAAGCTGTGCTTGGTACAAGCGCGTGGGGCAAGTGGCTGACGTCAGCAATCGCAGTGTGACGTTTTGTGCATGTGCTCGGTGAAGAGCAGACAAGCCATGTATCATGGCTGTCAAGAGGAGAGTTGAAGCAAAACGAGGCGAGTAAGATTTGGCATGTCGCAACGGGAGTTTATCTCTGGCCTTAGAGTGATGACGGCATTTTCGGTGCTTCTTGGTCCGTGCGTTCAGAAGGCAACAACGTTGGACCTCCGAGGCTTTCGGTCGATCGGTGGAACAGAAGAACCAAAACCAAAACGAGCCGCCTTTACTACTACGAGATATCAGTACTACCACAATGTTACTTTTAACAAAATTCGGCTAAGACAAAAGCGCTGACTCTGTGTTTACTACAAGCCAGTGCTTGTTAAGTAGAAATTACTAGTAATGTTGTAGCAGCAACGAAAGCTTTAAGAGAGCTTCATACCATCAGTGCTAAGCGATTTTATCTCCGACTTGACCGGCCGACCAAGAGCGAGGATAGGGTTTGATTTGCTTATACTAAAACAGTGTGTCAAGGCTTCTCATGACCAAGCAAAGACTGCTTCTCGGGGACTTTGAGTCCCATGTATTTGATCATGTTTTTTTAGTCTTCTTCTCAAACCTCATGTTCTTGTGAAGCATGCATCTTGTCTACTGCCTTGAGGTCCACATTCCACCTTTTAGCCAATTCTTGGATTTTGTCCATCCACTTGTGCATCACGGGATGCTGAGCAGCGACCTCTCTAAACGTGGGATCGTCTTCCTTGCTCACGACACCCCATTTCCAAATGCCTTCCTCATCCACCCATTGTTGACCTAAAAGCTTCTCTATGGCCAATTCGGTCCGAGCCGTATGGTAGATTTCCGTGGCTTCCTTGTGTACTTGCGGGTCATGGTTCTTCCATGCGGCAACAAAGCCTTGTAGAACACCGAGGATGTAGCCTGTGTTGAGTCCAAGATTTGCCCCGAGAGAATAGCCTTCGTCGAATCCTTGCTGTACATACTGGCCCTTGCTAGTTGCTAGGCCTTCTCGATAAGCATCCGTATCCAGGGCGCGCTGACGAGAGGGCAGATCGGAAAGGATTTCATGGCGCCGTGCCTGCGGGGCATGTGTAGAAAGAACTGGGGACGAAGGCGCAGAGCCATACACATCGTCGAGGGCGTTTTCGTGAGGCGGGGTTGGAGGCGCCTGCCCCGCGGCAAGCTGAGTTGGGTCTAAATTGGGAGACAGGTCGCCGATTGCGTTCATCGTGGACGCGATTCCTGAGCCAAAAAGACCGCTCGAGATGGAGATTGAGTCATGATGCCGTGAGTACTAGGGACGGACAAAGTGGGGACGAAAGGCAAGGGGATCAGGGTCTGGTGGGACCTACTATAGCGCCATGTTCGGAGGCAACCGAGACTTGTCCTTCAGCCGCATTGAGCGTCACATGCATGGAGCTGCCAGCGTGATGTTGTGACTGTGCAGCGCGCCCCTGTTGGCTGACAACACTTGTTCTGCCATTATGCATGGTCTCGTTGTTGGGGGCCGGACGAACGCCGAGAGTCGTCGGGCGCCGGTGGCACAGACGTACAACAAACGCACTGTACATAAGACGTCTGCAGCCGCCATACGACAGCCTGCAAAGCTACCCCACTACTCATCACCATGGTCGCGATATCAGCAGTCCGCAGCCATAACGCAACACTCAAGTCTGCCCTACCCAACCCTGTTGCCGTCTTTGTGGGAGGCACGAGTGGAATCGGCCTCTTCACAGCACGCGAGCTAGTCCGGCACACAGTCTCACCGACCGTCTATCTCATTGGACGCAATGCCACGGAAGCGAGCAAGATTGTCGACGAGCTCCGTGAGATCAACTCGGCGTCAAAAGTGAGCTTTATCCAGAAGGACATTTCGCTGTTGAAGAACGTGGACGAGGCATGCAACGAGATCAAGAGCAAGGAAAAGCATGTCAACATACTCTTCATGACGTGCGGATATCTTTCCGTCAAGGGCCGCGACGAGACGGCCGAGGGGCTGGATCGCAAGTTTTCATTGCACTACTACGCGCGCATGAGATTCATCCAGCAGCTTACTCCATTGATGGATGCAGCAGCAACATCAAACGAGCTTTCGCGCGTAGTTGCAGTCTTGGACCCGCAGGCTGGTCTGCGACTGAAAGGAGTCAACTTCGCGGACCTTTCGCTCAAGAACACGTTTAGCCTGAAGAATGTGTTGGTTCATGCCAGCGCCATGCTTTCTTTGTCTGTGGCCCACCTGGCCAACCAGCACCCCAAGACGACCTACATCCACGCCTACCCATCGGGAGTTGAGACAGGGGTAACGCGCCAACTTTTTGGGCCGGTCAACGGAGCCGTCAAGTTTGTGCTCTCCAAGCTGGGCCGGCTGGTGTTTGTTCCCCAGGGGGAGAGTGGGGAGCGGCATCTGTTTGCTGCCACCTCGCCCATGTACGCTCCACGTGTGGCCGCAGAGACGACGAGTATGGTGGGCAGCGACGGCGTTGTGGGCAGCGGGAGTTACCTTCTTAACTGGAACGGCGAGATACTGGCAGACACGGACAATGCAAGAAAGCTTCGGGGCGAAGGCGGGGTGGACAAGGTTTGGCAGCATACGGAGGAAGTGATGAAGGCGATAGAAGAGCGAGGCAGCTATTCGCCTTAATGCGACGCATCCAGGCACGAGTCAGACGGACGTTTGGGTCATGTGGGAGTTTAACGTTTTGGCTACAGCATGTCCATCAGCATGTCGTACGATGGCGGTGTCATGCTAGGGATGGCATGGCAAGCCACCGGTGTTTGTCGAGCCTTGGGGCGTCGTGCCATTGGCTGTCTGAGGTAGTCGGGACAGGATGGCGGCGCCACAGGCGATGTTGCTGGCCGCAAGTCCATCGCAATGGTATCGGGGACACGGGGGGGGAGGGAAAAGAAAAACCCAAGGCAGTGAACCGTGTGCTTGCGGGGTAGGATATCGATAGGCGCAGGGTTCGGCCAGCGTGTGCCGCCGCGGAGGCTGGGGTGTGGCTGGTGTTGTGGCGCAGGCGGACGGCTGGCCAGGTGGGGCTGCGGCGTCGACGATTGCCTGCCATGGTTTCTGACACATGCGTAGTCATGGATGTAGTGTAGCAAGCACACACGTATCCGTACTCAGACACAAGCCATTTGAAGTCGCTGCAGACGTGAGGAGCACGGCGACGGGCAGCATCCACGCACCCGCCGTCAGAGGAACACTTGGCGGCTGCTGCTGCTGCGCCGTGGCGTGTGAGCATCGTCGGGCTAGGGCGCAGCCCCTATTCACCCAGTTACACCCACATCCACACGCGGCGTACCGCTCGACTCCAACTGCTGGCCCTGCCCACTGCTGCCCACCCAGCGCATCCATAGCGCCATCGCCTCGGCTGCAATGACTGGCCCGTCGTGGATCGGCATCCATGTCATCTGTCGCCGGCCAGCCGTGGGTGCAAGTGCAAATTATACCTGCATTTGCCCAATCAATGCCGTCAGCAAGCAGGCGGTTTCGCATTGAGACCGCGTGTGCGTGCCACCCTCGTCGGGCCTTGTGCTGTGTCTATCTGCCTCTGCCATTTCCCGGAGCGCGCCCAGTCTGAGTCCCACCGTGCAGTCCAGTCCAGTCCCGTCCAGTCCAGTCCCCTTCCAGCCCTTCCCTCGGCTCGCGCCCTCGCACGCCTGGCCTCGCCCATCTCTGCCCTGCACTCATTTGCTTTTGCCGCCTTCCTCGCTCAGCCCTACTGGCCTCCGCAAGCACGTCAGGTCTCGCCTTGTTGTCCCTTGTTTCTTTTGCTGTTGCACAATCCGGGGCTGCCACCACCGCCTGGCCCCAATATCGTCGTCCCTGCAGTAGTGTCGGATATTAAGGCTAGTACGTACATACGCAGACGTCCCTCCGACTCCTCTGACCCACACCCTGGTCTCTGTCCCGCACGCGCCATGGGATACGCGTTGGAGCAGACTGCTAACCTGGCCACACAGGCGGCCGCTCCCTCCTCCAATTTCAATTTCTGTCGACGCCATTTCGTCGACCCAATCTCTTGACCCTGTCTGGCATAGGGAAGCTAACTCTCTCTTCCGACTGCCCACCCAGGAGCGTCTTCTCGCTCTCCGCTGCTAAGATTAACCACGCGCGCAACCACTGAGCCGCTGATATTAAGACACCCCTCCGCCCACCATGGCCTCTACTACGGACCCTGCCGCTCCCAACTACTCCAGTCCCTCGGCACACAAGGAAGACTCGCCCGACACTGCTGCTCGTCCTTCGCTCTCCTCTGTCGACAACCAGTCCGGAACACGCAGGACCAGCTTCAACTTTCTGCGCAGAGCCAGCGGAAAGAGCTCTTCAGAGACTCGTGGTAGCAGCGCCAGCAGGAGCACCTCGGGAGCAAAAATGAGCCGCAAGCAAAAGGCCCTCGCCCAGGAAGAGGCTTTGCGCAGGCAGCGCGAGGCCAGTATGCTCCCCACCCAGCCGCCCCGCCTGCCCTCGCACTCGGCCCTGCCCCAGATTGCCACGTTTGGCGGCGAGGATACCTACCGTCCAGACTCGGTCGCCATTGTCTCCAACAAAGTCGGCGCCTACAACCCCAATGCCTTCAACTTCAGCCGGCCCTCGATTGATCCTTCCAAAGTGGCTCGCCAGCCCAACATGCCGACCGGCCCTTCGCCTCCATTGCCCGCCGACGTTGATCCATACCCCAGGACTGAGAGCATGACCAACCGCGGCCGTTACAGCTATGCCAGTACTCAGGCCACCAACGTCAACAGCCCTCGCCGTGTGCGCAGGAGGAAGGATCCCACGCCATTCAAGTATGTCACCACTATCTCTTCACTTGCGCTAGCTAACCATGCTTCAGCATCCTTGTTATTGGCACAAAGGGCTCCGGCAAGTCCGCCTTCATCGAGTTTCTGCGCACCGCCCTCGCGCTTCCCGCTAGTAAGCGACCGCGCACCCCGTCTCCGCCTGCGACTGCCGTTGGCGGTGATGATTCACCCTTCACCTCGCAGTTTCTCGAGACCGAAGTCGACGGCGAGAGAGTGGGCGTCACCCTCTGGGACTCCGAGGGCCTCGAAAAGAACATTGTTGACTTCCAACTGCCTCTGATCACCACCTTTCTCGAGTCCAAGTTTGAGGACACATTCAGTGAAGAGCAAAAGGTTGTCCGTTCCCCGGGAGCAAAGGATACGCATATCCACTGCGTCTTTCTCTTGTTGGATCCCATCCGTTTGGACCAGAACATTGCCGAAGCCCGCAAGAATGCCAACATCGTCAATGCCGGCAGTGCCATTTTTGGAGGCTTGGACGAGAATCTGGATCTCAATGTGCTCCGCGAGCTCCAAACAAGGACCACCGTGATTCCAGTCATTAGCAAGGCAGATACTATTACTGGCGCCCACATGCGCTATCTCAAGAAGACGGTGTGGGACACAATCAAGCGATCCAAGTTGGACCCGCTCGAGGCTTTGAACCTCGAATTGGGCGACGACGAGGATGACGAGGATGACCGACTCGACGAGCGCGACGAGGATGAGTACGAGCACTCGTCTGACGGCGAACAGAAATCTGAGATGCTCAACAAGATTCTCGAACGATCTTCTTCCGAAGCTGCGCGCTCAGTTGTTTCGTCTGCGTCGTCTACAAAATCCCAATCGCCTTCGGCGTCGGCGCCAAATGGTAGCAGGAACCACAGCCGCAAGCCGTCTGCCATGGCTGCATCGATCCACAGCGAAAACAGCGAAACGCCTTTCCTGCCTCTCAGCATCATTTCACCGGATCCTTACGACCCCGAGGTTGTTGGCCGTAGGTTTCCGTGGGGTTTCGCCGATCCCTACAACCCAGAGCATTGCGATTTCGTCAAGCTCAGGGAAAGCGTCTTCAGCGATTGGCGTTCTGAGCTCCGTGAAGCCAGCCGCGAGCAGTGGTATGAGAGCTGGAGGACAACACGACTCGAAAAGGGCACGCGTCGCGTCGCTACTGCAGATGGACCCACATCGAGACAGCTCTCAGTGCCTGCTACCAATGGTCGCGCAGTGAGCGCAGAAGGCCGCGAGTATCGCCCATATCGACCCGGTGCCTTTTAATCGATCATCTGCTCTGGAAGCAAAAACAGCAGTATGTGAAATCAATAAGAATCAGCGCTGGTACGTCGTTGGACCGCAACACTGCCAGTCTCCATTATCTGAAAGCAGCATTCATCCAAAAATGCATGTTTGAAGAAACAACCATTTGGACGTGCCGAGCATGTTACCTCTTCACTTCACAAGGTACATGTGTATACTTGAGCTTGGCACATACCTTTTCCTATGTCGACTATGTCTGATACTTTTTTGTGTTTTTCTTTGTCTGTTTATCTGAGTTTGACTTCAATATTGCGCATACCCCCTTTCGATTGTTTAGTACCCCTTAGATTCATGCTCTTCCCACACCGTTTCCTCTTTGCAAGATGGATCCGGGTGGTTAAACTTGGCGCTGAGCGTAGCTTTTATTGACGAGGTAGTTTTAAACTCTATTTAGCAGTTGCTTTTCTACGTGGCCATTGGGGGGTTGAGGGTTTGAGAAAATGTCAAAGTTTTTAATTCTTTGCTACTTGACTCGACTTACTACACTTTGACTTGACTTGACTCGGAGCCTTGTGTGATAAGTTCGTACTGCTGACATTGGCGGGCCGATGTCGTAACTATGCCGCGTTCTTGCCTTTTAAGTTGGACGTTTTGTTGCTTTTGAGAGAGAATACTTGGAAGATGTGGGAGGCGTGGTTGGGTACAGCACTGTGCTTGGTCAATTCCGGAGTGGGACGGACGACGAACCCGCTTCCTTCTCCAATGGACCAATCGCGACGGCAGTCTTCGACGCGTGCGCGCATCCTCCAAAAGGTACTTCCTAGTACTAGCGCTTGCTGCCGATGACGAGACGTTCTGTTTTCTGCAATGGTTCCCGATATCGCGTCCTGATGAACTGCGACATAAAAAAATGCGGTATGTAGTCCTGTGCGCCTCTTCCGTGCTTGTTGCAACTTGCACCACCTTTATGCTTGCACATCTCTTGTCAGTCAACATCGGCATGGCCTCACGCAACTACATCACATTGATACTGGCAAGCATCGCCACTTCGGTATCAGCAACAGAGGTGGACTTGGGATGGTACCCACCCAAGAAAAGCTGGATCAATAATCTCGATCAAATTCTAAACGGTACTGGAACGAATGGCTTCATATTCAACAGCTCGCAGTTGCCAGCTGGTGTTGGATATGGCACTTATAACTGGTGCAACATGCCTCACGTGCGTAAAGAAGAATACGTAAAAGCTGACGACAAGTTTGAACTAGCTTACGTTGAGGTGTGAGTACGTACATCTATATTCACAAAAAATAGTGATAACTTACAGAAGAGTAAAAAAAAGTATACATCGTCACCACAAGCGTACACCATATGCTTCGAATACTTTCCCACGGGAGTCGTACCGCTGGGAGTGCAAAGATCAAGGCCTTTTCTACTATGGAGAGGCCCTCGATTCTACGTCTAACAAGACTTCTGCATCAACATACTGGAGTGTGTATACCGACCCTGTGAATCCCTTTGCGCAAGCAGGTTTCAACGGTTCATGCCAATTCCCTCAAATCACTCTTGAAGGCCTCGAAGACTCCTGGCAGCACGGAAAAGATCTCTACGGCGTCTACCACGACCTCCTAGGCTTCCTACCGTCCCAAATCGACAACAAAGTGACATACCGCGTCTCCAACAACGTCATCACCAGCCAAGTCGCCGGCATGCTCATACAAGGAATGTACAACCCCAAAGGAAACGTGCCCTTACACATCCAACCTAGCGATATTGACTCACTCGCACCTTCCTACTCCTGCCCCGCAGCCTCCAAACTCTACAGTACCTACGGCGTCGGCAGCTTCGCCGCAAACTGGACTGCCCACCTCTCCGCCACCGCCCCGCTCTTCAAAGCCCTCGACACAGTCAGTGGCGTCGCCCCTACATCTGCAGAATGGCACAATTGGTTCGACCACTACTACGACAACCTGTCTGCCCGCCAATGCCACGCCAAGCCTTTGCCGTGCAATATCAGCGACCCTGGCTTATGCATCGACCAGAGCCAGGCAGATTCCGTGTACCGACTTGGTCAGTACGAGTACTCGTTCATCTACCGCGATGCGCCGCAGTCGCTGCAAGCTGCTGCGGGCTCCTATGGCGTATTTCTAGCCGAACTCGCGAGTCGTGTTCGCGCTGCCATGGCGGGCCAGTCGGATATCATATATCGCCATAACGTGGCGCATGACGGGTCTCTGGCGCGTCTTTTGAGCTTTCTGCAGGTGGAGCAGATGGTTTGGGTGGGGATGGGGTCCGAGGTTGTGTTTGAGGTGTACAAGAGAGCTGGTGGGGAGACGAAGTGGTTTATTAGGATTCTTTGGGGCGGACAGGTGCTTAGGAGTTCGAATCCGAGTCTTGGGTGGAAGGAGGGGAGCGTGGATATGCTTGAGGTGAAAGTTTTTCTGGCCTATGTGGATGGACTTGTGGGCAGGGGGGCGGAGAAGGTGGTGGCGTTTTGTAAGGGGTGAGGGATCATGAGTGGATCCTTGTCTGGGGGGGGGGGGTTCTTCTTCTTTTCTATTTGACTGAGGAGTACGTAGGTACAAGAAGCACGGGATGAGAGCGCTGTCTCAGACGGAAAACTAAATACTCTCGATAGATGATAGGACGGTTCTAGGATGTTGTGTATGGGCTGAAACATATGGGTAATGTATACAAAACGAAAATACCAAATGTTATTCCAACTAACACTATCAAACAATGTCATCCAGGCGAGCAAGGTGCCATGACCATGGTATTGAGATGCATCGTTCAATATTGGGATCTTGCGTCCGACTAGAAAGGGGATGCGCAGGAATGACAAAGAGTGGAAAACAGATAAAAAAGGTCGGAGCAGTTTGAGCACACAGATGATGTTAACTACCTGGACATGATATCTAGTCAGAGTGGAAATGAAGCGAGGTCGGAGAGTTAGAGCTTGTTTGCTTCTTCTTTTTTTTTGTTTCCATTTTGTTGACCTTTTAGCCTTGGAGCTTCGATAGAGAGGGGCCGCCTTGCATCTATCCAGATTGAGATAGAAAATATAAAGGCTGCTCTTCTGGACCTCCGTTTTACACCTCCAAGATCGCTGTTTTATCGAACATGACAGCTTTTTGAGTCCCGTTTTCAAAACGTAAAACGGAGTTGAACCGAACACGCCCTACGGATACGAAAATGAACAGGCCCTTACCCCACCTTGGATCCGGGCCCCACCATAGCAACGGGCTTGACATCCCTGTCTCCGATACAGGCGGAGTCACGCATAGCTTTCCCAAAAAATATATATGTCCACTGACGTTACACACGCTTCACCCACACATACACGCAATGGCAACAGTACCCGACTACTCACGGCCGACAACGCCTGAAACACTCGCCAATGGCATTGCCACACCTCGTACACCAAGGAATGGTTTTGCTCTTACCGAATACAGTGCGAACCCAAGCCCGCCCCCGGAACCAAACACTTCAAAGACACAGAGCGTGATACCCGAAGCATTCCTGCTCCCAAATGGATACCCCGACTACTTGCGCCTTATCCTCACATCACGCGTCTACGAGGTCGTCCAGGAAACGCCATTGACGCCCGCTATCAATCTCAGCAACCGGCTAGAATGCAACGTCTTACTCAAACGCGAGGATCTACAGCCCGTCTTCAGTTTCAAGCTGCGGGGCGCATACAACAAGATGGCACATCTGGAGCCCAAAGAGCGGTGGAGAGGTGTTGTGGCATGTAGCGCTGGAAACCATGCCCAGGGCGTTGCGTACTCTGCCCGCAAGCTCAAGATCCCAGCAACTATTGTCATGCCCTCGGGCACTCCGGATATCAAGCACAAGAATGTCTCGAGAATGGGTGGCTCTGTTATACTTCACGGAGCAGACTTTGATGCTGCAAAGGCAGAGGCATCGAGGTTGGAGAAGCTGCATGGACTCATTTCTATACCGCCCTTTGACGATCCATATGTCATTGCAGGCCAGGGTACTGTCGGTATGGAACTGCTACGACAAACCAACCTGCAAGATCTCAAGGCCGTGTTTTGCTGCGTAGGCGGAGGCGGCTTGATCGCCGGAGTAGGCGTCTACATCAAGCGCATCGCACCACATGTCAAAATCATAGGCGTGGAGCAGTACGACGCCAACGCCATGGTCGAGTCTCTCAAAGCAGGCAAACGCGTCGTCCTCCAAGACGTCGGTCTCTTCGCCGACGGCGCAGCCGTCAAAACAGTCGGCGAAGAAACCTTCCGTATCTGCCAGGAAGTCGTCGACGAAGTCGTCCAAGTCACGACCGACGAGACGTGCGCCGCCATAAAAGACATGTTCGAAGACACACGCTCCATTGTCGAGCCCGCGGGTGCGCTCGCCCTCGCCGGCCTCAAAAAATGGGTCTCGCGCAACCCGTCGCCCGACCGCAACCGCGGCCTCATCGCCATCGCCAGCGGCGCAAACATGAACTTTGACCGCCTCCGCTTCGTCGCCGAGCGCGCCGCCATTGGCGAAAACAAAGAAGCAATCCTCTCCGTCACCATCCCCGAATCCCCAGGCGCCTTCGCAAACCTCGTCTCAGTCATCCACCCCATGGCCGTCACCGAATTCAGCTACCGCTACTCCAGCCCCGACTCGGCACAGATCCTCGTCGGCGTAGAACTCAAAGCCGCAACCCGCGCCCGCGACCTGCCCGATCTCATCGCCCGCCTCGCCGCAGACGGAATGATCGCACACGACCTCTCCAAAGACGAGCTCGTCAAAAGCCACATCCGCTACCTCGTCGGCGGCCGCAGCGACGCCGCAAACGAGCACATGTTCATGTTCGAGTTCCCAGAGCGCGGCGGCGCCTTGTACAAGTTCTTGAATACCCTCCAGCCCGGTATGAATATTAGCCTTTTCCATTACAGAAACTATGGAGGCGACGTCGCCAAGATTCTCGCAGGCATCCAGTGCCACGAGGATGAGAGCGACAAGTTGACCGCGTTTCTCAAAGATATCGGGTATCCGTATAAGGAGGTGACGGATAGTCCGAGTTATAACATGTTTTTGCGCCGTTGAATAGACTTGGTAGTGTCTTTTTTTTTGTTTTTTTTGTTTTTTTGTGTGGTGAGGAAAAGAAAAGATGGGATAGAATAATAATGAGGAATGAATACTAGATACCCCCCCCCCCTCTTGGCCTTTCTCTCTCTCCCCCTCTCTCTCTCTCTTATCTTCAAACCCGAGACAAAACACAGAGCAAAGAAACACAATTTTTTTTTTGCATAGTCGACGTCGTAAAAACGGTGTTGAATTGTCTTTCGCGATCATCTATCTGCACGTAGCATGTTGCAAGACGCAAACGCTATCTTGGCTGGCTATATATGGTATCCTGATGTAAAGCACAAGATTCCAGATTAAAAGGCTCGGAAGAAGGGGGGGAGGGGGATGTAGGGGAAATAAAACTGGTAAAAAAAAAGAACAACGGTGTACTAAGAACACAACAACAACAGCAAGCCGTTAGCGCCTGTTCCAAGCGTACGCCTTTGCCCCAAAGCGCAATATCTCCCCAACATGGTAGTGACTGTCAAAAGCAGCTGGTCCAGGTAATATGTGGGTTTTCTGTTTCTTGTTTTTTTTTTATCAATCACACCCTATCCTCTGCAAAATCAAGAACCTCGCAGTCATCTTCGAAGAAACCTTCTTCACCACCGTTGATACCGTCTTTCTTAATTCGTCGTCGCCTGGTGGTCACGACAACTTGTTCTACCTCTTCTTCACCATCTCGCAACACAAGCTTGTTCTCAATCCTGGCAGCAACTCCAGTGATGTCGTCCTCGCCCGAGTCGTAGGCTGGGGCCACAGGTGAAGAGAGTCGTGTCGCCTCTACGCTTTCACCAAATAGCCAGGGTGATGGGTCATCGTGATGGAGATCCGAGACCAGTTCGGGAAGTGTTGGCTGGTACTCGCTGGCGCTGCCATGAACCTCTGACGCCTGCCTTGCGTAGACAAATCTCGTCACGCGCTTGTCTGTGTAGAAAGGCTGGTAAGGCGGGTTGGTCTCAATCTCGGAGAAACTGAGCGGTGCAAGAGTCGGGCCGGCGGGTTTGCGACATGGCAAGCTTCGTGGCAACCAGTCTCCATAGCACTCCTGGATTGGCTCTGGGTCTCCGGGTTGCGGCATAATTTGCTCTGTGACCACTGGTGGGAATGATATGTCTGGAATGGGAGCTAGCCCGAACTCTACGGCTTTCTTCTTGGTGATTGAGGCTGTATTGCCCGATTTCCCTTTGCCGGCAGCAGGTCGCATCTGGACCCGCCAGATCTGAAGTACACCGCCAGAGACCAGTGCGATTGAGCCACGACCCCTTCCAGACAACCAACGAACACTATAGGGTTTGATGCCACTGGAAGAGGATGGGAGTGTCAATTTATTGTCACCCGCATGCCGGATGTTGTTAATCGACTTGCCCACCCCAGCGGCTACAGCTTTGCCAGATTTGGCGCTCACAACAGGTGTTACAGCAAGACCACTGAGACTGAAACGAGAACCACTGTTGGTTCTTGTCCGGACAGCATCAAACCAGGGCTTGGCGCTATTGATGGCTTGCATTGCTGAGTTGACTGCGCCTGTGGATCCGTTGGGAGGGGTCGATTCCTTGGGTTGAGCTGGCTGGGCCGCTGGTCGAGTCCGCCTAGCAGGTGGCCACTGGAATGCGGATGCCGGCATGGAAAACATGTGCACCGTTCCTTTATCGGTAATCACGGCCAACCTGTCAGCTCTGGGAGCAGACCATACCACATCAATGACATTTGCAACTGTCATGCGGGTAAATCGAGCAACTTGCCGAACATGTGGTCCTGTAGGTTGTTCCCTTGCTGTCTTGCGCGCTCGTCGGAAATGCATACGCTTCAGATCCCAAACGTCTTGATAGTCACCCTTCTTGCTCACCGACATGAGCATCAGTCCGCTAGGGGAAAAGGAAAGAAAGCTGCATCCCAAGGCGGCCGGGACAGTTGCAACGGGCTGGAGAGCACTCTTGCTTCTGGTCTCTTCTGCATCCACCAACTTTTGCAGATCAAAGACTGAGATGACAGCGGCTTCTTGCCTTGGTTGAGCCTGGCTGTAGCCATGTGTCGGCGGAAAGTAATGCTGCATCGGGTCCTGGTTCTGCGAGACACCATTGCCTTGCTGGCCCTTGTTCATATAGCTCTTGATCGCCTGCATTCCCTTCTCGGTGGCCCATCGTGCGCCTTTGATAGCTACTTGGGTTCCTTCACGGGTAAGCCTGTCAATCAAGCCTGCCTCATCAGGTGCATCGACAGCACAGTTGGGCAACGGTTGAGGCGGCACACTGTGATGTGCAAGGCCCGGGGCACGCTCGTAGTAGGGCGATGTCAGTGCCACCCCATTAACAGGATAGAGTGAGCTTGATGCTGGTGGAGAAAGGGCAAGCCAACGGTCGGAGAGCGAGAAGACAGGTAAGCCATACTTGTCCGGTGGTATTTCGTCGTGGCTTCCATCAGCGGCACTAGAACCATTCGAATGCACGGCTCGTTCCCGATTTTGGACAGAGGTCCACAGCTTGCCGATGCAGCGGAAACGCTCGGCATACTCCAAGTGACCTTCTGTGTAGGGTGCGAAGATGAACACTTCGCCGCTTGCGCCTGAAGCAACCACGACAAACTTTCCCTTTGCATCAACGACCAAGTCGCCTACCGGTGGTGGCGGCTGGAACATGGGACTATCGATTGGGCTGGTGAGGGGGGTCATTGGTGTTCTGTACAGGATAGCCAACCTCCGTCTCTCCTTGAGGGAATAAACCTCGACAGTGGTTTGATAACCGCTGATCTGGCCATTTTCATGGTTGCCAAGTCGTGAAGATGGCCTGCTGGGGGAATCGGAAGCCGAATCATCTGCGACCGAGGACGAGCCACTTGCACTGCTGTTCTGGCTGTCCTTGATGACTGGGCCGTGCAGAATCAGTGCAATAAGTGGGCGGGAGGCGGCCAGCGGATCTCTCCGTGATGACCATGGCAGGATCTTTGCGCCTATTACGGCGCCTCGCAGGCCTTCCAGGCGACCTACGATATCCATCTTGCTCTTTTCGACGCGAAAGACATCGAGGCCGCCTTGACACCCGACGAGCAGGACGTTCTCAGCAGAGCGAGCTGCTTCGTCTCCGGCCATGGATAGTGTGTCGAAGCCACAGAAGCAACCGCCTTGGCCAGGCTGGAGGCCGCTACTCGGGGCGCTTAGGAAGTCAAGGTTGGGCAGGCCATAGTAATGGGCTTGTGGCTGGTGAGGCAGCGGGGGGTTAGGAACAAACTGGTGCGAAGGGGTGCGGCCACTTTGCGAGTAGATGGAGGCCCTACGGTCGCTGCCCGGCGAGTGCTGCATCCTTCCGCCAAAGGTTGTGTACTGGTTAGGATGGCTTAGGGGCCGTGGCCCGGGTGGTGAGTTGGACATGGCTTGGTGTTGGTATAGGCCTTCTCGGGCACTGGGCGAGTTGTGGAAGGTGGGTGGAGAGCCTGCAATAGCTATGGCGCCATTGCCTGGAGAGCCTTGGTGTGGGAAGAAGGGTACCGACTTGGCCCACTCGGTCGTGTACTGGGCGGCAGTGTTTCGCGTGGCACCAATGGCCGACAGCAAGGGAGAGGCGGTGGCATTGTAGTTTGTCGGCGGAGAGGTGGACGACAGGCGCTTTGCAGACGAGGGAGAGGTTGTTCTGGAGAGGTTGTGAGTCACTGGCACAGGGGCGGATCAACGAGGGCAGTCACGTACACTTGTCTGGGATAGATGCGCGTAACCCGTTCACCCTGCCTATTTCTTCTTCCCAGCTCATGTCTCGAAGGGTTGCGACCACGCGCGTTGGGGCTGTCGTGCTGCTTGCCGGACTTGGGCTGGTGCTTGTGCAGGTAGGTGAGGTTTGAAACCGGCTTGGTATGCGTCTGGTCGGCAACGGCGTCGGGCGATGAGCTCATTCAACCTGCTAGAGAGGCGTGTGGAAGAGAGTATGGGGAGCGCTAGCTCGGTGGCAGAGGGCGGGCGAGTGTGTGTGTGTGTCGAGTTGGGGGAGGAGAGATGGTCGAGGGAAGCAACGGGTGCAGGCGGCAGGCCAGGGCGTGGGGATGAAGGCTAAACGGAGGCGGTTGCGTCATGTGCAGCCGTGACGGGCGACTCGTGCGGGTGCAAGTCGCGTGCGTGCACAGCAAGACAGGCGTACAGCGGTGCAGCGGTGCTATGGCGGCACAGGAGCCCTGGATGCTGACTCGGGCTGTGCTGGCGTTGAGGTGGACGTGTGGGAATGCTATCTATCAGCAGCTATCGCCAGACGGCGGGGGTGCTCCTTCACACGGCATGCAGGCTGGGGCGCCCCTCAGATAGTAGCGTTTGCAGCATGGTTGACGGCGGGCGATAGCCGACGGCGACCTCTGTCCCCAACCCGCAGTTGTTGAGGCGTTGTATATGCAAGCCGTCGTCAGTAGTCATGCTTGCGGCGGCGGCGGCTGCTACGCTGTCGCGGTCGGTCAAGTCCAAGGTACCGAGGGGCAGTCGAGAGCTTCTGCAGGGTGGTGGTGCATGTGCATGCCGCACCCGCACCCTTCTATTCGCTCGCCCGACCCTTGGCTTGGCTGCATCCACTCGTCCTGCATGGTAGTACGTGTGTGCTTGGGGCTGTCTGTGTATGCTGCCATGTATTGCCTTGCTGGTCCTCTTGCTCGTGACCTGCGCTGCTCACCCCGACACCGGCTGATGCCTCAGCACCACATGACCATGGTGTGCAGAGTACGCACGGGAAATGCATAGTATGGTACTGCTACGTAGCTTGCCGTCACGTGCCTGCAGCGCATCCTGCGACTACTGCTACACGGCATGTATGCATCCCCGTCTCGATCGCGTCTCAAGAATCCGTCGTGATACAAGTGTTGGCCTTGTTCTTGTGACGGCCATGGCCAGGTTGGCGTGTTCAACATACACGCTAGCAGCCTTCTCTTGCGCATAGACATCAGTCGTCTCCTTATCACCAAGCTCTTGTTAGCCCGAGGCTATCCGCAGCCATCCTTACTTACCATCCGTGGCTAAGTCACATGTGGCTGGGCTCTCGTGGCTCTGACTCATCCATCGGTGGCGCACCGATCGGTGGCGATACAATCCGTGGCTGAAGAATCCAGCTTCAGGGCCTTGTTCTTCCTATCGATAACAATCCTCGCCTTGGCCTGGCCCCACGCCTCTCGGTCGACTGATCACGTCGGACATAAGACGGCCCAACGCCACCAGCATTTTGATACCAGTCTTTCGCTTAGCCATCGTCAACATCAAGAGCATGTTCGTTTGGTCTAAACTGCATTGAAACCCATGTTACCCTAGTGCTGATATTTGGTAGTAAAGGTGGCTCGTTTTGGTAGTACGTACACTACTAGCCGATTGGCCTGGGTTTTCCAATCTCATCCATCGACCCAAAGCCAGCGTACTGTGGTCTCCACTACACCTCTCCTTCGACTCTTCATTTCCTGCCTCTCCAATCGTATTCTTTGCACTACTTATAATGTCGACGCTTCTCGCCTATGCAGAACTGTTTTCCTTCTGCTTAGCACGCACGCGACATGTTAGTGCAATGTAGACGGGACAATGCTCCTGATGCAGTATAGAGCCGGCCACTACATGCTTCTACACGCAAGCGAGCAATCTCAGAACTGTAACCGAGCAATCTCGCCAATGTAACCGACCCTGTCTGCAGCCGCCATCGAGCGCCCCACCCTCGTAAAGACGTTGAAAAGGACTTGATTCCGTCAGATTCCGTTTCTTGGTAGGCAAAAAAAGGCAAACACTCTTCTCCCGCCATGTTCAAGTCCACTCTTGTCAGCGTCCTTTGCTGCTCCTTCCTCCATGCAATTCCTGCCTTTTCAGAGTACACCAACCTTCCAGATGTCAAGCCAGGCGTCTTTGAGGCGAGCGCCCGCATAGAAATCCACAACACTAACTTCGATGCCGTCTGGGACTTGCTCACCGACTTCCCCAACTATGCCGCTTGGAATCCGTTTGTCCGCTATGCAGTCGTCACCTCACCACTCAACGTCACACTGCCTGAGCAACGGCCTGTCGAGGGCAAGAACCTCTTTTTCCGCGTTCAGATCCCCTCGCTTCCACTGCCCGTAAACAAGGACACCCCCGACAACCCTCTACACACGCAAACTTCACAGGAGATCGTTACAGCCGTACAACGTGACCTAGGAAGGCTAGCCTGGGCGTACTGGCCGCCTTCGGTCATGCTGAGTGCTGAACGGTGGCAGGCTATCACTGATTATGGCAATGGAACCGTGCTGTACGAGAGTAGAGAAGTCTTCAGTGGGCCTCTAGCTTATGTTCTCAAAACCACCATGGGGAAGGACTTACAAGCCTCATTCGAAGGCCAGGGAGAGGGAATAAAGCTGTACCTGGAAAGTCAGTGAGATTGCACTTTAGCCTCGGTACAAATCAGACCACAGTGGCATTGAAAATGGGTTCTCTTTTTTTTTAAAAAAAATAATAATAATAGTAATATCAATACCAAGTCAAGTTGAATAAATGTTAGACGTTCATACGTTCATTGGTGCAATAGAGTCGGTATGCAGATGTCACTGTATTTAGTAGCGAACCGTTACATGCAAGACAGCGGCGGGTTCCTCCACACACATGCATAGCCCGCTCGGAACATGGGCCAATCCCGGTCACCCACCCACCCACCGCGTCGCTATCGCAATCGCACATGGCCTGTACACGCCGCAGCATCAGGTGCGTCCGCTTAAGAATGACGTTATTTTGCGACTGTCGCTGAAACCCCTCGTGCTTTTTCTTCTCTTCTGGCATTTTGCACGTCCCTGTCGTATGTTGGCGCAACACTAGACACTGGCAGCGCCGCCTATGCCGTCCACTCGCTCTCGTCATCGCTTATCTTCCTGTCGCAATCCCCAGGTACTCTGGCTGCCATCATAACCATGAACCCCGAGCTCGAAGCTTTTGCACGAGCCATATCGCGTGTCCTGGGCTGGGCCTACTTTCTTGCTTGGTGTGTTCTTTGCTCTAGCTCCGGGTGCTTCTTACCTCGCATGCTGACCCTCCTATTCAGGTCCTTGTCCTTCTACCCTCAGCCCATCTCCAACTACGTCCGCAAATCCACCCTTGGCCTTGCAATCGACTTCCCTACCTTGAACGTCCTCGGCTTCACCTGCTACACCATCTCCACCGCCTCATTCCTCTACTCTCCCACTATCAAAGCGCAATATGCCCAACGACACCCCGAAGCTCCGGTTACAACGGTGCGATTCAATGATTTTCTGTTTGCCGCCCACGGCGCAGTCATGTGTTTCATAATATACAGCCAGTTCTTCGAGCCCATATGGGGATTCGAAGTAGGCAAAAGGCAGAGAGTGAGCCGCGTTGTGTTTACCGTGTGGTGGGCATGTGTCGCTGCCATATTTGCAGTTGTACTGCTGGTCCGCTTCAAAGGGCAGAACGGAGGCTACAACGCTGATGGATGGGCATGGATCGATGTGGTAAGCTGGGCTGGGTTGAATTGTGTTTGCCCACTACTAACAACATCCCATCTAGATCTACACTCTTGGCTACGTCAAACTCCTTACCGTTTTTCTCAAATATATACCACAAGCATGGGTCAACTACAAACGCAAGTCCACCGTTGGCTGGAGTATCTATCCCATGCTGCTGGACTTTGCTGGCGGCTGGCTCTCACTCGCACAGCTATGCATAGACTCTGCGCTAGAAAACGATTGGAGCGGTGTCACTGGCAACCCAGTCAAGTTCGGCCTTGGTAACATTACCATCGTCTTCGATGTCATCTTCATGGTGCAGCACTACGTTCTATATCGACATGCCTCTGAGAAAAGAGTCGATGACGAAGAGGAGTCTCAGGCGCTAGTCGGGGCCATGCGAGATTAGGAGCTTCACCTGCATAACTCCTAGTGCTGCCCTTTCCCCTAGGAGCATGCTTATCATGCACAGCCGAACCAAAGTCCGGATACCACGTGGATGAACCCCATCCCAAAACTTTAGATTAGACCCTGACAAGACGCGCTATCCTTTGTTGTGGACGATACTTTTTTGACGCTATTGAATCTATTCCAATTTAGACGAGCACATCTTGTTGCCATGTATTGGTCCCAACGCCACGATCACGATTGTGTGTTGTACTACTTCTGCGCTTTGGCCATTGGTACTATGATTGTGCAAGCCGCTTGCCCCTGGAGCTCGGAGGACTGGATATCCTGCCTGTGCGTACGGACTTTCCTCGCTGATACTCACATGGTGTGCAATCGACATGAAGGCCCAGATTGCTAACTGCACCTTTCTCAGGGCCTTTGGATGAAGAATATGGTCACGTGATTATCTGAACAGATTCCTTCCGGCTCAAGAAGAGTGAGAAGAGGACCAGCCGCCCATGTCTTCATGAAATCTATCAATTTTACTCTGTAGTCTCATTTTACGCCCATCAAAACAGAAGCATCGCTGTTTTTTAACCATCCAACCGCCAACTTGACACATCACTCAATACCATGCTTCCAAAACTTTACACACACACACATTTCACGTCCCTTTTCTAAACCCAAGATCGGCATCAACATCCGACCCAGCTTCCTCACCGCCAGCACTACTCTGAGAAACATACTCCTCCTGCTGCTCCTTCCTCCTCTGCCCCAACTCCCTCATCTGTAGCGCGCGCGTCGTCAACGCCGTAACAATCATCATGAAGCTCAAGCACGTCGCCGTGATGAAGCCCTTGTGGTACCTGGGCTGCTCGACCTGCTTCCACACGACGAGCGGCAGCCAGGCCTGAACGACATAGGCCATTTCATTCATGGACGCCACGACAATGGCGCGCTCCTCGTTGTCATGCGTGCATATTTCATGCGCCCATGCGTAGCAGAGGCCCGAGATGCCGCCGCCGAAGCCGGTGAGGATGTAGCAGGCCCACTTCCACTTGATGGGTATGTCCCAGATGGCCAGGCTGACGTAGCACATGATGTTTACGCAGCCGCCGAAGACAATGGGTTGCCAGCGTGAGCCTTTGAGGATGCTGTCGCTTGTCCAGGCGTAGAGGAGCGTGGTTACGACTTGAACGGCGTTGGTGGCTGTTGGGTACTGTGGGATTTTTTTTTCAATTAGAACCCTTTGACGTTTCCACAGAGTAATGAAGAAAGGGGGGGGGGAAGAAACATACCGTGTTGATCTGAGAAATAGTATACTTTGGATGCTTGCTCGACTTGAGAAACTGCTGGAACACAGGCTGCGCACCCGAGTTGCCGTTGTTAAAAAAGATGTACAAGAAAACCAGGGCGTAGATATGCCAGGATGTAAAGATCTTCCACATCTTCGCGCGAGTATATGGTTGGCGTTTTTGGCGGCCCTCGCGCTGCATGCGCTCCTGTGCGAATTTCACTTCCTCTTTTGTCAGGTAAAAGGGCTTGGAGATTTCGGGGAGGTCGGGCAGGAAGAAGAAGCCCATGAGAGCAATGGGGATGGAGATGATGCCGTCGACGATGAAGAGCCATTGCCACCCTCTGAAACCGCCTTTGCCGTCGAGTCTGTAGACGCCGGACATGAGGTAGCCTGAGAACATGGTTGCGATTGCGCCGCTGGTGTGGAAGATGCAGGAGCGCTTGGCGAGTTCTTCTTTGCGATACCACGACCCGATTATGTATTGCATGCCAGGATAGAAAGTAGATTCGGCCAATCCTGGGTGAGGTTAGCTAGGAGTTGTTTTTGTCGTGTTGGTCTGGGTCTTACCGATGAGAAATCGTAAAGCGTAGATTGTTTCTGCGTTTTTGGCGCGGCAGAGACAGAATGTCAGGACTGCCCATGTGAGCTGGCACTGTTAGTATATGAGACTTGTACAGATATGGTCCCAATGTACCTCCATAGCGGGAATCCAAATCGATGGTCGAACACGGGTCAAGATGATGTTACTTGGAATCTCGCCAATAACGTATCCCACCGTCCAGCACGTCTGCATGTAATTAAGTTGATTGCCATATAACCCGAGATCTTCTTTCCTAGCAAACAAATCAGCAAACGAAATCCTCCATCACAGCGATTCGAAAACCTACATTCCAGAAACAAAAGCACTGTTGATGTTCATCTGATCAAGATACTTGATGAAATACCCTATCCAAAACAGTCAGTTCCAAAAAAAATTCTTTTATCAAACAGAGATTTTTTTTTAAAAAAAAAGCAAGTAACATACCCAACGACGCAAAAGTCAACAACGCAGCATCAAGCTTAAACATAAACCACCGCTCCTCCTTGGGCTTATCCAACGTATCCCACAGGTAATAATACCACTTATGCGGCTTATCCGTCACTTCCCCGTCAGACCGAACAGTAGGCATAGCAGGCACCAACGAGGCCTCGACATCTTGGGGGCCACCCATAGTCGCAGCAAGTAAATAGAAGATGTGCGTGCTTGAAGAAAGAGGAGAAGAAGAAGATGATGATGAAAAGAAAAGGGGCCTCGTATCACCACAAAGCAAAGCCAATCACTCTGCTTTTATCAAGCTACGTTCCAGGGTCTACCGCTTGGGTCGCAATCAAGCCTTCCGCAAGAACATGGGCTTCAAATACCGCCTGGAAAAGTCCATGGCAGGCACGGCCCGCTGGCGAAATCGAGGAGGGGNGGGGGGGGGGCGGCGGGCTAGAAACATTCCCCCCCCTTCCCGTTACATCTTTCAGGTTGCACATGGGTCTGCATCCTCGGGTTAAGATACCCGGGTTGTTCTTTCTTTGGCATGGAATTTGTGGGATCGACACTTCTGTGATTGCATGGTGCGGGCGTGGGTGTGGTGTTGGCCACATGTTGGCGTCATTGAGTAGCTGGATGGCGTGCCTGAGGAGAAAAGATAAGGCGTTTTTTTTCATACGACTTTGGATTCAGAGTATTGGATCAACGGATAGTGCATGTTTAGATGGATGTAACGGCAGTTGAATGAGGGTCTAGACGTGTGTGGTGGCTTTTTGACGAGTCAGTTAGGTTCGGACAGGATGCTTGTATGTTAAGAGGTCACGTGATATGATTCATTCTACAGACATGTTACTTCGAGTCTCTTTTGCAAGATAGGCCTGGCGAACAGCTCCTTCGTCTTTGCTGAGATTTCTGCCCTTGCAGTGTGCCATTGACTGCTATGCCCATTGAGCTGGTCTCTGCCAGCCTTCTCCAAATCAGCATTGATCCAAGCTAAAAGCTGATTGACGTAGTCTTCCTCTTGGTCCCGTAGACTGTGGAATGCCTTGCCATAGCCTTTTGTCTTTATTTTCTCATTGTACTCGGATCGCATGGCTTCTTGGCTTGGAAGCTTCGCCTGACCAGAGAGCACCTTGGCAACAGCCATAGCTTGGAACTCGAACAAGGTGAAGGTGGCAGTGAAGAAAGGCACGCCAACGAATACAAGCGTCGGATCGTTGATATAGAAGATGTCCTTGTGAAGGTTGTGAAACTGGGTTCCATCTGTAACCACCAGTGTATCGTCTGCTTTGTCGACCGGCGTGTTGTCTGAATGAAGTTGAGGCAAGAACGGCAATGTGATGTGGTAGCCTGTGCAGAGTATGACATGATGAATGTCGCAGATTTTCTCGCCCGACTTGAGAGTCACTGTGCCTGGTATGGCTTCTGAGGAACCTAACGGCTTCGTTTCATCTGCACTGGGCGCATCGTATGACACCACCTCGTCGACTTGGAAGGCATTTTCGGGAAGCATGACAGCAGGAAGGTCAAACTTTCCGTTTCTGTGGCTTTGGATGATTTTTTTGGCATATGGGCCGAGCTCGCGCGCGATATCCGTTGCTGAGACGCTTCCACCGACAAGTAGATAGTTCTGCAAATACTTTAGTTTGGGCCTGATCTCAGGGCAATTTCTTTAGTATATTCAATACATACCTTGTTCTCAGCATTTTCAGGCTTCCTGTAACGCTTCGAATGTTCTACCCTGTCTGGCCATCTCTTCTTCCACTCTGCCAGACCAGGGGTACCTGGAACTCTTGGTGCGTGGTAATGCCCTGAAGCAACGACTACAGCGTCGAATTTCTGCACTCATGTCAAAATAATCGATTTTATGGTCTTGGAAGCACTGACCTGAGTAGAAGTGTTCCACCTTTCTACACCAGCACTATCTGTCTGCAGAGTCGTCGTCTCAACTGACCATGAACTGCCATCTTTCCAGACATTCTTTACATTCGTATCATACTGTGTGGCTTCGTGCACTCCCGTCACAATGGCAGTATTTTGTATATAATCTGCTAAAACACTGTGCGATACGATGTCCTCAGTTCCGGCCGGAAACTTGTTCAACGTGGTTTCGAGTAAGCGGGTGGGCACGTTGTTTTTCAAGCCAACATAACATGGGCTATGTTCGGTCAGTCATGGAATACACGCAATGTTCAAACATCTGAACTTGCCCTGGTGGCGCGTGGATCCGCCTTTCCGCATCTTCCGTGTCTTCACTTGCATATGTACTGCCAGTTTTCGAAATTGGCACGGTTGAATATAGTGGCTCAAGAGGCTTTCGCTCATCGTACAACCTTCTCCGAGGTGAGTTTACAGCATACTTTGGTATGGTTGGGAAGACTACCATATGCCTCCTGCAGCACTACTTCGCTCGAAGACGGTGACATCGATGCCCTCTTTCTTGAGGTGGGCCGCAGCAGCGACACCACTGATACCTGCACCGATCACAGCGACACGTTTAGAAGATAGAGCCATGTTGGAGGTTTTGATAAGTTGAGATAGGGACGTTGTTGGAGCTAAGGTGAGATACAGACGTCGTTGGAGCTTTCCGAGATGGTTGAGCGCATGTCCTCAATTTGCCCCAGTCAGGTCAGTACCCGGACGAAACACTGCCAACCCTTTTTTTTCTCTAATTCTCCGCGCTATTTGTCCACATTGTGCAAGACTGTATTTACCAGCATAGATCACGCAATGGCAAAGGCGTCAAGGTTCGCAAAGCGTAGTAGTGGACATGTATGGCATCATGAACACCCACTATTGCGAGAACAACCTACAGGAGGCACCGGCATACCAAACTAGAAAAAAAATGCAAGAGCCCACAATTTTTGTTTGAGGAACTAGGCGCGGCATCCAGTCGATAAGATGGGAGATGTTGACTGGACATTCGTCATAATCTCCGGAATGATGTGATTGACCCCGCAACTACCCATGGGCATCGCCAGCATGCAACCACCACGCAATGTAACCGACTAGATCCTACAGATACAGGAAATGTATTTATAAGCTGTGAGGAGACGATGTGTGGGGAAGCAATCGGGTGGGATATAAGAAGTGATGGTATCGTGAACCATTCGTCATACCTAGCCTCATCGCAGCAATCGTCAACATGGCACCAATCGCAATTCCCGTTGCTGAACACATCAAGGAGAAGGACACTGTCCAGCCAAGAAAGGATACATTGAAGCTGCCCGAGCCAGCCAGAAAGAGGCTTGAGAAGGCAGGTATCGATTTGTCCAATGGTTATCCATACAGGCCGGCGAAGCCACTTTACCTCGACGATGTGTACAAGCTCAGGGACTATGATCGGGAACACATAGACCCAGGTTCCCGGGCTGATCCAGAGAAGAAGGCACTGTTCAGTGCTGCAAAGGAAGTTATTCATTTGACGGCGCACATTGGAACCGAGATTGTTGGACTTCAATTGAAGGATCTTACAGACCAACAGAAGGATGAGCTTGGTCTTTTGATTGCTGAGAGGAGCGTTGTGTTCTTCCGGGACCAAGATCTCTCACCTCAACAGCAGAAGCAGCTTGGAGAGTACTATGGTGAAATCGAAGTCCACGTATGTCATCCTTCCCATCCTGTAGTTGATGATGCTGACAGTCAGCAAAGCCGCAAGTTCCTCACGTACCAGGTGTACCGGGAATAACTGTTCTTTGGCCCGCTCTTCAGGCGACGGAGATACCTGCCAGCTTCAGGAAGACTGGCGGAGCGTCCCAGTGGCACACTGACTTGGTGCACGAACGCCAACCCGCCGGGTAGGTGACAGTGCTCTGAATTCAGCGCTCTCCCGACTAACTAGATTAGTGTAACTCATCTGCACAACGACACCATCCCAAAGGTTGGAGGCGACACTCTCTGGGCTTCAGGCTATGCTGCTTACGAGAAGCTTTCGCCCGAGTTCAGGAGAATTATCGACGGAAGAGAGGCAGTGTACCGTAGCGCACATTCATATCTTGAGCGCGATGACCCCAGCGCCGGTCCAAAGCATGTTGAGCGAGTTCACCCGCTGGTGCGCGTGCATCCCGTCACAGGATGGAAGGCACTATGGGTCAACCGCCTCTTCACCGTACGCATTGTCGGATTGGACAAGGCTGAGAGCGACGTAATCCTCAACTATCTCTTTGATGTGTACGAGAAGAGCGTCGATATTCAGGTGCGCTTCCGATGGACGCCAAATACGTCTGCGCTCTGGGACAACAGAATCACTATCCACAACGCCAGCTGGGATTATGAAGGAAACGAGCCGAGGCACGGAACCAGGGTGACGTCATTGGCTGAAAAGCCGTTCTTCAAGGCGGATGCGCCGACGCGCAGGCAGGCATTGGGCCTTGCTGGACCTGAGGATATTTGAAAGGCATGGCCGTATGTCTGGAGATGAGAAGACTGATGGCGGTGGGCTTGGAGGTGGGCTTGGGGGTGGTGGGCAATGGCAGGTGCGTCAATGCGCGAGGACGGTTGCGGGGTAGGCTACTCGCTAGTACGTTGACAAGTGCACTTGTCAATTAAATCAATGTCATTTGTTCTGACTTCTAACCTAAAATGCACATGTACTTCGTGCAATAAACGTAAAAAGCTAAAATAGCAGTGCACAACTACAGTTAGTCCACACAATCGCAGTATACTTAGATAGTCGGAGAATAAAAGGAAGTCTTGCAAAGGTCAATCTGAATTTCGCATGCTCCCCAGACGATGAAACTTTGACCGGTGGATTCGAAGTGAAGTGGGTAACCTACTAGCAAATCCCCACTGTCGTATGCTTTTGCCTCCATTTTTTGTCCATCAATGTCCAAATTCTGCACCTGATCCCAACTCTTAGTGCTTTGGGTTTTTTACTTGAAGCAGGATAAGTGGCAGGTGTCTCTTTCAGGTATAAGAGACTACATGTAGCGTCCGGCGTGCAATTGTTCTGACCTCAGGCTTGGCCATACACGGTACGTAAGGGGCGTTAGTATCGCATCGATTTTCAGCACCCAATCAAAAACTGTGAGCTTGAGTAACCGAGGCGATGCCAAGGAGAGGAGCCGTTTGTACCTGGCGCTGTTGAGTGCAATTGCGGGAAGGCGAAGAACGAGACCTACTTATTCCTATGCATGTGACGGATCAGTTTCGGTGCAAGATTCTTGGCTGTTTCTTTTCCTGCATTGTCTCTTGGCTACCCGGTGAGGGCAGAAGCAAAGTCGCCCAGGACCGACGGCATTGCAACATTGTATACTTGGTAGCAGCATCCGACTTGATACATGCACATACGCCTTGATGCAGTAAAAAACTGCAGAGCCGGCGCGGTTGTGTCATGGCGCATTGGGCTGAAATGACGTCCTTGTGGTGGCCATGTTTGGTGGCAAGGGCAGCAGGGTGTCTCGTCTTGGTAGGCTAGCCCGCCTGGTCTGGGGTTTCCGCTTTCATCGGTTGACGGAGAGAGTGTTCGCGACTACTGACGCTCTTCGGCCTTGCTCACAACCACCACACTCGGTGCCCATGGAAACCCGACACGGAGCCTCCACCCAGGCCGTCTACATGGCAACCTGCAGCGGCCTTTTTGATGCTTGTGCTTGCAACAAAGCTTGGCCATACGAAATGTTGCTCTCACTCGCTCGCAGAACCACAGTCGAGACGGAAAAGTCCTCAGCGGAGACGTCCAAGAGGCAGGCAGACCCGCTGGCCAAGAGTCCAGGTGCCGGTTATCCATCTTACGTACAGCCGTGCGTCTGCTATCGCGACAGGCACCCAATGGCTATCCGCACATTGAGGCATGGAGAGAAGTTTTCGCCTTGGCGTCCGCCGCCATCTGAATCGACCTTGGCGTGAACCGGCCATGCTTGGCACGATGTCGTACCCCCAACTTCCCCACAGCTCCGCATATATGTTGCAGCCATCTGTGGCCTTCTTGCCTTTTTTTCTCCCTGAGTTTACTCTCTATCTTCCTGCTCTCCCAAAGTCTGCCTCGACTCTTGTCCAGCACTCCAACTCTTTCCCAAGCTCTCTTACCACCCCAACCCGTTTACTACCTTACCAACTTGCCAATCACGGCATTGATATAGGAGGAGTCTGCACCCCCGCCCCGTGCTGAAGTTCTCTATGTATACCACACTCAACACCCAATCCACCAAGTTTGTCCACGCGGCCATAGTCCGCGGGGCAAGAATTCGCACAAAACTAGAGCGTTGACGCTGAGCACTCTCCAAACCTGATCAGTCTCGTTACCCGTATCAAAGAAATCAACCCTACTTAATCAAAAGTTCACATAGCTTTTTTGAAGGAAGAAAATCAAGAAAACAAAAAAAACACAACAACTACAAACGTTTAAACTTGCAACATGGGCAAGAAAGCTGCCCCCCTCGAGGGGCATGTCAGTGGACAGGCGAACAAGCCCTTGTCCAAACCAGCCCACAGCCTCACTGTCAAAGAAGTCGTCAGCGAGCTCAAAACGGAGGAATGGTCTGGTCTGGACGATAGCGAAGCCAAACGCCGCGTCGATGAGTACGGAACCAACGAGCTGGGAGAAGCTGAGAGCGTCTCTCCCATCAAGATTCTCATTGCCCAAGTAGCCAACGCCATGACCTTGGTTCTGATCATGGCCATGGCCGTTAGTTTCGGTATCAAGTCGTGGATCGAAGGTGGTGTCGTAGCCTTTGTCATTGGTCTCAACATTGTCGTTGGCTTCTTCCAGGAATGGTCAGCCGAAAAGACCATGGACTCGCTTCGCTCTCTCAGCTCTCCTACTGCGCGCCTCATTCGCAATGGCCAGCAAATTACCGTTCCTTCGGCTGAAGTCGTTCCCGGTGATATCATCGAAGTCAAAGTCGGCGATACGATTCCAGCCGACATGAGGGTCTTTGACGCGGTCAATTTCGAAACCGATGAGGCCTTGCTGACTGGAGAGTCCCTCCCTGTACGCAAGCAGGAAGACGCCGTTTTCGACGAGGCTACTGGGCCCGGTGATCGCCTTAACGTTGCCTATAGCTCATCTAGCGTCACAAAGGGTCGCGCCAAGGGCGTCGTGTTTGCGACTGGCGCTTATACTGAAATTGGTGCCATCGCTGCTCAGCTCCGCGAAACCCAGTCCAAGGTTCGGCCCGTCAAACGCAAAGAGAATGGAAAAGCAAAGCCCCATCGCTATCTCGAGGCATACACGCTGACCACGACCGACGCTATTGGACGTTTCCTGGGACTCAATGTTGGAACTCCTCTCCAAAAGAAGCTGTCGAAGCTCGCTGTCTTGCTCTTCTTCATTGCCGTCATTTGCGCCATCATCGTCCTAGCAGCCAACAAGTTTAGCGATCGTCAAGAAGTCATCATCTATGCCGTGGCAACCGGGTTGTCCATGATTCCAGCCAGTCTGGTAGTGGTACTCACCATCACAATGGCTGCTGGCACAAAGTCCATGGTCCAGCGCCACGTCATTGTTCGGAACCTCAAATCACTAGAAGCTCTCGGTGGCGTCACTGACATTTGCTCTGATAAGACTGGAACGCTGACTCAGGGTAAGATGATTGCTCGTGGTGCGTGGATCCCTGGCGTTGGAACGTACACTATCGAGGACTCGACCGCCCCTCAAGATCCCACTGCAGGCAACGTTCGTTTCGGTGTAGCGGCTCCTGCCAAGATGAATCTCAAGGCTGGCGGTGATGAATGCGGTGAACTCGTATCTGTCGAAAAGCTCGAGAGCCACAACCATTCTGGGTTCGGCGAGTTCCTCAAGGTGGCGTCGCTGGCCAACTTGGCTGCTGTGAAGCAACAATCCGATGGGAGCTGGGAGGCCCATGGCGATCCAACCGAAATCGCCATTCAGGTCTTCGCCTCTCGCTTCGGCATGAACCGTCTCGGATTGACAAAGGGTGATGCTCCTCAGTGGGAGGATCTTGTCGAGCTTCCCTTCGACTCGGATGTCAAGCGCATGTCGGTGATTATGAAGCATGCCAGCGGTAACTACTCCTTCACCAAGGGCGCCGTCGAACGCGTCATCCAAAGCTGCACTACCTACCTGGCCGATGGCAAGGAAGACTCCCAGCCTGTTACCGAAGAGTTCCGCCAGGAGATTCTCTCTCATATGGAGGCTCTCGCCGGCCTCGGTCTGCGCGTCCTCGCCCTCGCCAGCAAGCGGTTCCCTCACGACGTAGAAAAGGGCGCAGAAGTCGAGCGCTCCACTGTCGAATCCGAGCTTGTTTTCCGTGGTCTCATCGGTCTTTATGACCCCCCTCGCCCGGAATCCGCAGTCGCTGTGCGCCAGTGCCACGAGGCGGGTATCGAGGTCCACATGTTGACTGGTGATCACCCCGAAACCGCAAAGGCTATTGCGATTGAAGTCGGTATTTTGCCGTCTGCCGATCGCTTCAGGAGGATCGGAAGGGATATTGCAAATACGCTTGTCATGACTGCCGCGGAATTCGACAAATTGAGCGACGACGAGGTGGACAAGCTATCTGTGTTGCCGCTCGTCGTCGCCCGGTGTGCGCCCAGCACAAAAGTTCGTATGATTGAGGCTCTGCACCGCCGCGGCCGCTTCTGCGCCATGACTGGTGACGGCGTTAATGACTCTCCTTCGCTCAAGCGCGCGGACGTGGGTATCGCCATGGGCCAGGCTGGATCGGACGTTGCAAAGGAGGCTTCCGATATCGTTCTTACCGACGATAACTTTGCCTCTATCCTCGCTGCCATCGAAGAGGGTCGCCGCATCTTTGACAATATCCAGAAATTTGTGTTGCACGTCCTGGCGGAGAACGTGGCGCAGGCTGGTACGCTTCTCGTGGGTCTTGCCTTCAAGGATCGGACTGGACTGTCAGTGTTTCCGCTCGCTCCCGTACAGGTTGTCTGGATCATCATGGCTACATCTGGTCTTCCGGACATGGGGCTGGGATTCGAACGTGCGGTCCCTGATATCTTGCAGCGACCGCCTCAGTCTCTCAAGACTGGTATTTTCACCATGGAATTCCTCGTCGACATGGTGGTTTACGGGCTATGGATCACGCTCCTCTGTCTTGCCAGTTTCGTCCTCGTCGTGTTTGGATTCGGTGACGGCGAGCTCGGCGATGGCTGCAACGAAACGTATTCTGAGCAGTGCGAACTTGTGTTCCGTGCTCGTGCGTGCACATTCGCCTGTCTGACGTGGTTTGCTCTCTTCCTTGCGTGGGAGATGATTGATATGCGCAGGTCCTTCTTCCGCATGCAGCCTGGCAGCAAGCGCTACTTCACTCAGTGGATGCTAGATGTATGGAGGAACCAGTTCTTGTTCTGGGCTATCATCGTTGGCTTTGTCCTTCTTTTCCCGCTCATTTACATTCCAACGCTCAACACGGTCGTTTTCAAGCATGCACCCATCTCTTGGGAGTGGGGCATTGTGTTTGTTGAGACCGGCATCTTCTTTGCGGGTATTGAGTTGTGGAAATGGTGCAAGCGTATTTACTTCCGCCGCCAGGTAGCCAGGAGAGGAACCGGAAAGGTGGATAAGAATATGGCGATTGAGGACCGTGTTTTTGGTCGCTACTACAGTCAAGATTCGACGGGTGCTGGTGGTGAGAAGGTTTAAACAGTCTTGAAATGATGAAGGGTGAGTAAGAAGAAAGGGTGGTGGCAAGAAACATCAGCGATGATGTTCCTGTCACTTAGAGTTTCAACAACTTCTTTTTTTTTGCCATTATGCTTAACCATGATGGTGTGGTAGAGGTTGATAACCAAATTGCAAAACAAAGGATGAACGTAGAAGACGTATGGGAAATCATAGGAAAGTAAAAGAAAAGTGAGTTATGCCAATCAATCAAAAGTCAACCCGATCAATCCATTATTTCTTACCAAAATAAAAAACCGGACTCTGTAAACCGTGACAATTTTTTGTTCTTTTATCCTGATCCACAAAATGCTCGTCTTGATGGTTCCGCATGCAAATACACGTCGTCGTTGTCGTCGTAGTAAGTAGGAGAGCAACACGAAAGCGGAGAAAGAGAGAAGAAAGAAAAAAGTTCTCGCAAGAAAAAAAAAGGCGCACAAGTAAACTTAACAGGGCAACCAACCCATGCTCCAAACGTTGCATCCATTTCCAAGTTTATCCGCATGCGGTATTTTTTTTTTACGCGTAAGTTAGTTGTAGAATTGCGGCATTTTTGGAAAGCCTACCTGATCGGGCACATACAACGGGGAAAGGGGAGGGGCGGGGGGTTTAGTGGATTGAGCGAATAAACTACTCCCACATGGGTCCGAAAAAAAAGGAGGGGCAAAAGTGAAGCAACGTAAATAAGGTAGTTTTGTCACTTTGAATCCTTGATGGGTTTCAAACATGCATAATGATACTGTTATCGTGGTCTATCGAGAAAAAAAACGATAACAAAGCAAGGCATAGTAGATACTTTCAAGTACAAAACATCTCTGGTACCAACCAGTGGAGATGCATTACTATACAGACGCTACATAAAGTGGGCAGTGGTGGTGGTGATGATGGTGGTGGCAGAAAAAAGAAGAGGAAGAAGAAGAAGAGAGACGGACATGGATTCTTCTTACACAACCAATCGGCCGGGCTCGACTTCGAGTACAGCCTTGACGCGCTCGAGGAAAACTTGGCCGCGCTTCTCGTCGCCCTTTGGTACGCTGATGCTGAAGACGTTGAGAGGACCTGCGACGCCTGCTGCTCCGTTGAAGGTAGACCGCTTAGGCGGGCTGGGCTTCTTGCCGGCCAGAATATCCAAAATGTCGGACTTCTTTGGTGCTGGTGGCTGAGCAGTGAGATTGGTAGGGGGAAGTGCGGTTACTTGGGGGAAGAAGTTGCCCTGGGAGTACTTTGTCGAGACCTTGTCGAGGCCGAGGACGGCGTTGAAGAGTTCGTCTGCTGATGGCTTGGCCGTCTTGGACTTGGGAAGATCCTCGTTTGCGAGCTCGGCTGCGCGAGCGACAAAGGTGGATAGCGGGAGGAAGACGCCTATTGAGTCTTTGACGCGCTTTTGGCACTCCATGACTGCTTTCAGAGAGATGGGCATGGCCAGCTCAACGGGCAAATCCTCGACAGCCTGAGGTGCTTCGGCTGCAGGCTTCTTTGGTGCCTCCTTCTTGGCCATGGGCTTGATGTTGCTCAGGTCAAGGTGGGAAAGCTTGGAGAAGCGACCGGCGAGTTCTGAGGGGTAGGACTTCTCAATCTTGCCAATGTATGCTAGCACATCTCCCTTGAGTAGCCTGCCGTTGGGTCCAGTAGCGGGAATCTTGTCGGCTTCCTCCTTGGGCAGACCGTTCACTTCCAAGAGATGCTGTACGGAGGGGTAGAGTGGGTAGGTCTGCTTTGTAGCCTTGGCGCTCGATGCCTTGCTTGAAGTGTCCGACTTTACGGGTGGTGAAGAAGTCCGCTCCTCCTTAGGTACTGGCGCAGATTGCTTGGGTTGTTCCTTGGGTGCCTCAGCCTCCTTCTTTGGCGCAGGGCTGTCTTCGGCGGGCATCTCGAGCGAACTCAAGTCGTCTCCAGGCTCCGCAGTGACGGCTATCCGTGTGCCAACCTTGACTGCCTTTGATCCATCTCCGACCTGTATCCCCTGTTAATTTTCCGACTAGTCACCCAAGCCTTTCCCGTGCACATACGGTGATCTTTGCCAGAATACCATCGTCCTGAGCCTCGACGTCCATCTGCGCCTTATCGGTCTCAATCTCGAGTAGGACATCGCCGGCGGAGAAGGAGTCGCCCTCCTTGATCTTCCAGGTCGCAATATTGCCCTCGGTCATTGTCGGGGAAAGGGCAGGCATGTTGAAGTTTTGTGCGGCGAGTGAAGCCGGGCTCGAATGAAGGCCTGTATCCCATTTCCCGTGAGCATTCTATATTCCCCGTGGTGCAACGATTCTTTCTTACCTCTCCGAGCACCATGGCTGCGCAACTGCTGTGAGGCAGCGCGTGCGGAAACCCTACATGCTGCGGCGAGCGAAGCCATGAGGAGTCAATTGGCCGGTAAGTGAGTGGAGGGTTGGCAGGCGGTCGGACGTCGCTGATGAGAAATGTTGAGCGCGGGATGAGCTTCGGAGGTCTCGAGCGGGCGCGCTTGGACCGCCGGTTTTTGCTGGGTAGTAACATTTTCTACAGACCATCGGAACACCAGAATCCCACGGTTGCAAAGCCGCCTATACGACAACAGACGGACTTGCAGTCGCCGCAGTCAATTGCTATACGATGCACCCAATGGTATAACAGTGTGAAATCTCGCCCATCCCTTGCAATGCCTGCCTTTCCCCGGGGCTTCGATGCCTTCCTCCGCACCAACACGTTCCGCCTCCCCTCATCTCTCCGCGCCGCCCTCTTCGGCACGCCAGAGTCCTTCTTCCAACCCACATCGGCTCAGCGCAGCACCCGCTTCTTCGCCTCGTCCGCCTTCCGCCGCTACCAGTATACCTACAAAAGCAATCTCAAGTCGAGTTTTGTCAGCAATGACCCCGTCCTGCGACAAGTGGCCCAGACCCGCCAGCCCGTCTTGATATACCAGGCCCCGCGCAACAAGTGGTATTATGCCAAAGTGTACGGCACGGGCGCCCTGTGGATTGGCGTCGGCGCTTTTTCCATGAAATTCAACAATGACATCAAAGATAGAGAGGTACCGTTCTTCGTGCGGCCTACCTATGTCGTTGTCGGGGCGGCGTTTATCGCCATCGGGTGTTATATCTGCACCGCGCCTACAAATCGCATGAGGATACTGGAAGTCATACCTAGTTTGCAAGGCGGACCCATACAATTACGCATGACGGTCAGAGCAGCCCCATGGTCCAAGGAGCGCGTCATCTACTCGCAACTGGGAGAAGCGACTATCAGCGAAAAGACAGAGCCCATGGTACGAGAGCTGCTCGAGGCAGAAAGGTTTCGAAAGCAGAAACTGTGGGACGACCTTGGCCACTTGAACATCGCAGCAAGAGCCTGGGAAGGATCCGCCCGCTGGGTGCACCAGAAGTGGACAAACTTCTTCTTGCGATTTAAATTCGCAGTCCTGCGCTTCGGTATTGCAAAAGTCAAGGTGCAAGGCGAAGACTGGAAGATTGATTGTTCAGGATACTTGATGGAGGACGGTAAAGGTAAAGTGTTTTCTTCCTGTCCAACCCCGCCTCCACGAGATTGATACTAACTGCTTTTGCCAGCTGTCGATAGACTCATTGCCGAAGAATAACAAAAACGGCTACTACTGTACGATTATGGACCTTTTGTACATATAGGAAATGTATAACCAAGACGCAATGTAAAAAAAATCAAATACGCTTAAAATAGGTATCATCTTCTCCATCTTCCATCCTCCATCCCTCTTTCTCCAGAGAAAAAAGAATCATTCACTTATATCAAGCCAATACCCCGACTTGCCCTTTCCCTTGTAAAACTCGGTAAAAGCCCCTATCGTCGATCTATTCATTTTCGCTGTCAGCCCCCAAATCCCTCTGTAACCCCCCTTTTCTCCCCTCCCCCCAAAGAAGAAGAAAGAACATGTAGAAGAGAAAAGACTCACCCTTTCATCTGCTCCCTATCCTTTGCCTTGTTCCACTCCTTCCAGCGCTCCTTGTCACTTAGAGTCGCATCCCGCCACTTCTCCTTTCCGGGTACGGTGGGTGGTGTGGGGCGGTGCAGGCGCAGGTGCAGTTTTGAGCGCCAGGAGGGAGATGCTAAGAAGGAGGAGGAGTCTGGTTGGGTGGAGGCGATGCTTTGGACGGTGGTCAAGGCATCCTTTTTCTGAGAGTCGGTTGAGGACATAAGGGGGGCTTGTGTTTTGGTTCGGTTTGATTTGGGGATAGATAAGTGGTACGGTGTAAGTGGGTGAGACGGAAGTATAGGGATGGGTTGGGAGATACGAGGGTACTTTTATGTTTTTTTTTTTAATTTTTGAAGCAGGCAGGTTGATGCGTTGTTGCTTGGGGGTGGCTGAGAGGCTGTATCAAGGAGCCACAGTAGGGTTGCCTTGTAAGGCGTGCTGTTGGACTGAGTCGGGATGCTGGTTGGGTTGTGGCTTAGCAGATCTGAGCTGGTGTGGCTGAGGCGGTTATTAGCCAGACCAGAAAAAAAAACAAGGCAGATGCTGGCACCAATCACTAGGGAGACAAGCATATCAATATTCCACGAGTGTAAACTGTGTTTTTCATTGCAGTATCACAGGGGATACGGTAATTACGCAGCCAACTCGACCTCATCAAAGTTTTTGCGTATAAACTTGGAGGCAGCATCCAACCCTTCCTTGACCACATCCGTCTGATTGACAAACCCAATCCTCACATACCCCTTGAACTCCTCACCAAAGCATGTGCTACCAGGCACAAACATGACACCCGTAGCCTCAAGTAGTTTCTTGCAAAAATCCACAGAGTCCACCGGCTTACCTTCACGATGAAACTTGATAAACGCCGTCGTACCAGCCACGGGTTTAACCCACTCACACTCATCCTCATTCTTGATCACAAACTTCTCGAGCAGCGCCAGATTTGTCTTGGCAAGCTGGATGTTGCGCGCAAGCAGAGCGTGTATAGTCGATGAATGCAAAGCGTAGGCTGCAACTTGCTCATCAAAGTAGGACACGGAGATTGTGGTATAGTGGCGTGCGTCTGCAATCTTCTCAATCAGATCTGAGCTACGTGATGCGATCCATCCGATGCGGATGCCGGCGAGAGAGTAGGCTTTGGACATGGAGCCTGTGACGACGACGTTGTCGTAGCCCATGGAAAGGAGGGAGGGCGGGAACTCTTTGTCCAATGGGCCGATGGAGTGGAAGAGGGGACGGTAGACTTCGTCGCCCATGATGGTGATGTTTTTTTCCGAGGCAATGGCGATCACATCTCTAAGAAAGGACTTGCCGAGGACTGCGCCGGTGGGGTTGTTGGGGTTGTTGATGATGATGAGCTTGGTGTTTGGCTTGATGAGGGCTTTCAGGTCTTCGATTGATGGTATCCAATTGTTTTCTGGCTTGGCCTTCCATAGGTCGACTTGGGCACCTAGCTGCTTGGGCACATCGTAGAGAGATTGGTAGGTGGGGTAGTGACAGATGACATGGTCGCCAGCTCCTACAAGCGTGTATGCAGTCAGGTAGTTTGCCTGGATCGCACCGGCGGTGGTGAGGATGTTTTCGGCTGGGAGTGGTGTCGTAACTTTTACGGAGTAGAGTCGGGCAAGGTTGTTCCGCAGGTCGTCGCTTCCTCTGATTGCGCCATAGTTGAGGACGCGCGAAGTATCGAAGACTTGCCTGTCCTTATCTTCTGACAGGTCGCGTAGCTGGTCGACGGAGATTGACGCACAGCATGTCTCGGCAATGTTGTACTTGCACTTTGTCTCATATGCGTCCATCCACTACTAGTGGTCAGCTTCGCCCCGCATCAGATGGCAGAAATGCGGGGAACGACGTACCGACTCGACTGCGAACTTGTCGATTTTGACCATGTTGTGCTGGATGCAATGAGGCTGTTGACTCTGGGCGCAAAGAATACTTGGTGATGATGCTCCAGGAGTCCACTCTGGTGTTTAGCACCGGGTGCTGAAATAGTTGTCCGGATGGTTCCATTCGAGCGGGTCTACTACGTCGTTCGCAGGGCGTGACGAACGGACATTTTCTTGCCACATGGCTCGCTCCAACGGCAGCTAAACTAGGGATGGGCGTGCTCTGGCAGTTGGACATAGTCTAAACACGGTGCCTAGTATGGAGCCGCAGTCATAGTCGCGCATGGGCACCGAAGTCGTCTTTTGCATGCTGCCAGCGACAAGTCGATGACGCGGGCGCCAGGTACTGGGGGCGGCGTGTGCCTCGGTCGGACGGTCCGCGACCAGGCTTGGCTGAATCAGGCCCAGCCTCGTCGGCGAATCATCATGGCGCAATCGCCATGATAGCAACCCGCCTTGTGTTGGTCACCATCTCCGTGGCCGTGTCTTGTCCCTCGTCGTTATCATACGAGCTTGTCCAGCTCCCTCGCCGCTCCTTTGACAGGCGCTGCATTTCCCTCCTCGACAGTCAGTTATTGCTACTACTGTCGCGCCTCTATCACGGCGACGCGTCGGTTCCATCGCAGCTGCCTGCTGTCGCTGGCTCTGCGCCGCATACACACAAACACACAAGATGCGCCAACGAAGCTGGGCGACGTCGCTCGCCGCCACCGCAGCTGTCGTGCTGGGCATGGCATCCTCATCTACCGCTCACAAGACATTTGCAAACTACTCCCTCGCCGAGTCGCCCCAGTCGCTCTTCTCCATCTATGGCGATAGGCCTGATGGTTGCCCCCCATGCTTCAACTGCAACCTCGAGGACTTCAAGTGCAAGCAGTTTGCCGACTGCAGCAAGGCCAACGGGCGATGCAACTGCGGTCCTGGATTCGGCGGCGAGGACTGTTCAGAGCCTCTCTGTGGCGCCCTGCCCGATGGCAAGGACCGTTCGCCCAGAGGAGGCGCAAAGGAATGTGAATGCTCAGAAGGCTGGTCTGGTATCAACTGCAACGTCTGCCAGACCAACGATGCTTGCAACGCCATGATGCCTGATGGTGAGGGCGGAGTCTGCTACAAGGACGGCCAATTGGTCAAGGAAAACTTCCAGATCTGTGACATTACCAACAGAAAGATCCTCGATACTTTGAAGGAGAAGAAGCCCCAGGCCACTTTTTCTTGCAACGCCGAGGCCGAAGAGTGTAACTTTCAGTGTAAGTTTGAACCACACCTACCTTCGCTCTCTCGCTCTCTTGCTGACCTTTGCAGTCTGGGTTGACCAGAGGGAATCCTTCTACTGCGCCCTCGACACGTGCGCCTCCCACTTCACCGCCGAAGCCGATCGCAACATCACCAAGTACCGATGCGAGAACATCAAGTGCGAGTGCATCCCTGACAGGATGCTCTGCGGAGAGGATGGCTCTGTCGACATTGGCGACTTCTTGAGGGAGTCGATCAAGGGTCCTGCCGAATTTAGGGGCATCTCAGCTGTCAACAAGAAAGAAAGCGGCAGCGTCTTTTCTGAGCCTGCTATGAACGACCTCATTTCGAGTATCTTTGGCGACGAAAGCATCTTCTTACAATGCGACACTGGCGAGTGTCTGTACCAGACTGAAGTGCCCGGTTACGAAAGGCCCATCAAGAAGATCAATACGCCTCTCATTGCGGGTGTCATTGCCGGTTGTGCTCTATTTATCGTCGCAGCTATCCTGGCTATCTGGTACCTCACCCATCGTGCCGAGGCGCAGCGTTATGGCCCCATCCACTTATCAGACGATGAGGAGGACGAGGATGCGAAACTGCTAGCCGACCACAAGCCAGCCTCTTTCCTCTTCGAAAACGTGGCATACAATCTCAACGGCCGGCAAATTCTCTCCGGAATTTCTGGTGCTGTCCATCCTGGAGAACTTCTCGCCATCATGGGCGCCTCTGGTGCTGGAAAGACCACTTTCTTGGATATCCTTGCCCGTAAGAGCAAAATTGGTGTCGACAGCGGTGACTTTTACATCAACGGAGAAAAGGTTCGCGATGACGAGTTCCGAAGCGTTATTGGCTTTGTCGACCAGGAGGATACCCTGCTGCCTACCCTGACTGTCCACGAAACTATTCTTGACTCGGCTTTACTGCGCCTACCAAAGGAAATGAGCCTTATTTCAAAACAGCAGAGGGTTGAAGATGTCGAACGCCAGCTTGGTATCTACCACATTCGTCACCAGAAGATCGGCTCAGAAGAGAGCGGTCGTGGCATTTCTGGCGGAGAAAAGCGTCGTGTCGGTATTGCCTGTGAGCTTGTCACTTCGCCCAGCATCCTCTTCCTCGATGAGCCAACCAGTGGACTGGATGCTTTCAACGCTTTCAACGTCGTCGAGTGTCTCGTCAATCTGGTCAAGAACTACAACCGAACAGTTGTATTCACGATTCACCAGCCGCGCTCCAACATCGTGGCCCTCTTTGATCAGCTGATTCTGCTCGCAAAGGGTCGTACCGTCTACTCTGGACCTTTTGAGAACTGCCAATCCTACTTTGACGAGCTTGGCTACGCTTGCCCACCTGGTTTCAATATCGCTGATTACATTGTCGATCTTACAATGCACGCAAGTACAGCACGTCAGCCCATCGATGAAGACAGTTCTCTCTTCAACCGTGATCTCAACCGTGATGGACTCACCACCAGCGCAAGCAGTGCAATCGCCGTCAAGTCTATTCCCAGCATCAATACCTCTGAGCTTGAGCGAGACCTTGCTGGAAGTCCCAGCAACTCTAGCATGATGCGACCCAAGGGCAAGCGAAGGACATCTATCAAGCAGCAGCAGGAACGCGAGCTATTCACACGCAAGAAGACTTCTACTACTACCACCGCCAACGATGGCACCATGTCACCTAAGACGGATGAAGAACCTTATGATCGTCGAGGCGCTATCAAAGCTCAATGGCTGAAACTTACTCGCCAACAGGGTGGTGTACCTCCTCAGATTCTCGAAGATCCAGATGAGCTCCCACCTCCTGCTAACGGCGCAACTGGAACCAACTTGGATCTTCTAATCAACGCCTACTCCTCCTCCGAGGTCGCCGCTAGAATTCGCGAAGACATTGCTACTTCAGTCGCAAATGCAAACCAAGCTAACGGCACAAATGGAAACCAAGAGGTCAATGGATTTGTCGCAGCAGGCAAGCTCAAGGGATTCAAGAAGGTAGGCTTTTTTGGCCAGTTCAGAATCTTGTCTCGACGCACATGGCGCAATCTATACCGCAACCCTATGCTCATGCTTACCCACTACGCCATCGCCATTGTCCTTGCCGTGTTCCTCGGGTTCCTCTTCTATGGTCTCACGGATGACATCAAGGGATTCCAGAACCGTCTTGGTCTGTTCTTGTTCGTTCTCTCTCTTTTCGGTTTCAGCAGCTTGACCATTCTCACCGTCTTTGCACCTGAGAGGCTACTCTTTACCCGTGAGCGTGCCAAGGGCTACTACTCCCCGCCAGCATACTTTGCTTCCAAGGTCATCTTCGACATTATCCCACTTCGTCTGTTGCCACCCATTATCCTCGGCATCATTGTTTACCCAATGACGGGCCTCATTCCCGCCTGGCCCAACTTCCTCAAGTTTACGCTTTTCCTTGTTCTCTTCAACCTCGCTGCTGCGGCCATTTTCCTCTTCATCGGTATCGTGTTCCGCAACTCTGGAGTCGCGAACTTGATCGGCGTGCTTGTCATGCTCTTCAGTCTCTTGTTCTCTGGCTTCTTCTTGAACAAGGACAGTATTCCTGGTGTAGCCAAATGGTTGCAATCTGTAAGTCTCATCCGCCGGGTTATTCGAGGTTGCATGTACTAACAACTACAGTTGTCAATCTTCCATTACGCCTTTGAAGGTCTCATTGTCAACGAAGTCAAATACTTGTCTCTTATCGACCACAAGTATGGCCTCGACATTGAAGTCCCTGGTTCGGCTATCCTCAGCTCGTTTGGTTTCAACACGCAAGCGCTGTGGACCGACTGTATCGGATTGGGTGTGTTTGGTGGTGTATTCGTACTGCTGGCTTACATGGCCATGCATTTGTTGCTCGTGGAGAAGAGATAGTAGGGTACAGTAAGGGTCTTGTAAGATTCTTTTATTTCACTGTGTTCCATGAATTGTCATTCCATCGTCTAGAGACACATGGATGGGAGGTCTCTTTGCATACACGGCGTTTAGGCCATGAGCCTTTTTTTTTATTGACGAGTGTTGTTCATATATATCTAACGCATCTCTTTCCCCTCTCATGGTTTTTTTACTATTGATGGGTGCCTTGATCTATTCCCTGATGTATTTCCACTTTTGAGTAAACAGTACATGATTCGCTTGTATGTAAAACTACTCGTGGTTGTTACCCTATTCTTTAGCGGTACCTGGGTGAACCGTAACGCGGAATATCATCCTCTTAACCAACTAGAAGACTATTATTACTCGCCCCGCTCTGTTCTCACCCAGCTTCGACATCAACTGCGGCACAGATTAAGCGCAAGCCAGGAAGACAACGGCATGCCATTGGCTACAAGGAGAGAGTGTTGAGCTAGCTTTGCGTGATACAAGGCGAGCAGTAAGAGGAGCAGACCTGTGTATATATGTACCTACTATGTATGTATGCTTCATGCATGTCTAGGCCGTTGGTCGTCCCCTCTCAACGCCCTCCCAAGAGCCGACCCCCTCTTCCGCTTCAACTCATAGAAACTCCCTTGCTCAACCACCCTCCCCTGCTCCATCACAACAACATGATCCGCAACCGCCATCATCTCCCTCGCATGCGTAATCACAACAACCGTCATACGCTTCCGCTCCTCCTTCCCCTTATCTAGCCCCACGGCCGACACCGAACTCGTACCCGGCGGGCCACTCTGCACATAGTAGTCGGATAACCCACCAGACCCGGGACCCACAGTACTACTCCTGCTACTGGCAGCACCGACACGTTTCCGCCCCACAAGCCGCATCACCGTCTCGCGAATGACGTTCATGGACGAAACGTCCAGCGCGCTGGTTGCCTCGTCGAGAATCAAGACGTCGGGGTTGCGCACGAGGGCGCGTGCAATGGCGAGACGCTGGGTTTGGCCGCCAGAGAGCGTGGTGCCGCCGGCACCTACGAGGGTGTTGTAGCCGTTTGCCAGACCATCTATGAAGTCGGCGAGGCCTGCTGCGTGGGCTGCGGCGCGGATGGATGCTGGGCTTGTTTCCGGGGCGGAGGGGGACAAGCCGTATGTGATGTTTTGGGCGATTGTACCCGGGAAAAGGGTGAGGGATTGGGGGACGAGGGCTATGCGGGAGCGGAGAGACAGGGTGGATACGGTGGAGATGTTTTGGGAAGAGAGCCAGAGGCCGTTTGTGGGGGCTGTGGGGTCGGTGTCGGGTAGGTAGAGTTTGAGGAGGAGGGAGGCGATTGTGGATTTTCCTGAGCCGGAGGATCCGACGATGGCGGTGCAGGATCCGTGGGGGATGGAGAAGGTGAGGTTGTGGAGGATGCGGGAGTCTTTACGGGATGGGTATGTGAAGTTTACGTTTTTGAAGCTGATGTCGGTTATGGATTGGATTGGTAGGTTTCCTGCTGCTTCATGGGAGTCGGTAGGAAGTCGTGCGAGGCGGAGTAGTCGTGTACTGGCGTCTCTTGAGATGTTAATCTGAGTTATGTATTGGGCCAGTGAACTGATGTAATTGACGCTCAGCATGAGTATCAAGAAGCATTCCATGACTTTGTTCGCAGTATACTCGTTCCTCGACATGAGCAGTGCGCCATACCAGTATAGTAAGATAGCCACAAATATGACGCCTGTAAATGCCAGGCCAAAGATAGAACCAGAGTAGAGGGCACGCTTCATACCTAGCTTGACTGCCTCAGTCGTCGCATGGCGATACTTCTTCCGAAAATGGCTTTCTAGTCCCAGACATCGGACTGTCCTGATATTCACAAACGTCTCATGCAGTATCTCTCCTACTTTGTCTTCGGCCTCGCTAGATAGCTTCTCCCAATGATTGCTGATCATGTTGTTACAATTCGTGATTGTAAAAAGGATAGGGCCCATCGCAAGCGCTACAAGTGCTAGTTTCCATGAAATCGCCATACTCCATGAGATGGAGATTGCTACCATGAGTATCATGGCAAGGAATATGCAGGCGAACCTTCCGGGCAGATTCCTCGCCTCCTCGGCAAAGTGGTCGAGTGTTTCGGTCAGGCGAGATGTGCTGTTCTCTTCCTTGTCAAAGAATTCGCGCGGTTGTAGCAAGATCCGACGCAGAGCTTCTCTTTTGAGTGATAAGCTCCAGGCTTGTGCTACCGCGTCTGAGAGGAAGAACATGAAGTATTTGGAGAGGCCGTCGGCAGTAGCGATACCAAGGATTACGAGGGCGTAGTTATGTGCTTTGTTATGGTTTTGAGAAGCAGAGTCTTGAAATGTACCGAGAAGTCGTGCGAAGACCCAGGCAAAGACTGGAGTACAGGCTGAGTGGATGATGATACATATGAGAGCACCAAAGATAAGTATGCGGGAGCGCCAATTTATTGCGGGCCAGACTGACGCGAGAATTTCTTCTAGGGAAAGTGATTCTGTTGAGGTGGGAGGTTTGTCTGGCGCATTCTTCTTATGAAGTGAGAGTCGGAGTCGAGAGAGAATATGATCACGCTTTCGTTGCTGTTTTGGTGACTTTGGTCGTTCAGGCATCGGATTGGATATTGAAAGAGGCTGCGGATACTTGCTAGTAGACGATGTGTATTGCACTCGTAGTATGGAGTCTGGTCGTAATCCGACTTCTTTTGGAAGATGAGCTTTCCACTCATCTGTATCAAACCTTGGAAGCCGCTCCAGTGCCACATCTCCCAATCCTAAGTCGACTTCTTTTGTCAAGAAAGACTTTGCATCTGGCAAACCTTTGTGATGAGTTGATAGTGTGTCATATCTTGGTGACCTATTCGTTTTAGTATCATCTTCTGTGTATCCATTGTCATCGGCATCCCTGAAACGATGTTCCTCTTCCCCTTCATATGACGCAATGAAGGTTTGAAATAATCCTCCTTGAGCTTCAAGGTCCTTCCTGTATCCCTCTTGTACCACTCGACCATCTCCCAACAGGTAAAGAAAGTCATCAGACCAAATCTGCGAGATGTCATGGGTAAAAATGATTGTCGTCTTTCCCATGCGCCATTCTCGTATTGCTTCGTATATCCCCACTCTTGTAGCATAGTCAAGCCCGCTGGTAGACTCATCCAAGATCAGGACAGGCGAATCCCTGACCTTTGCTCGTGCTAATGCCAGTCTTTGCCTCTGGCCACCACTCATGGCATCACCCTTTAAACCGAGTTGAGTATTTAGTTGGTCGGGGAGACCTTTTACGACCAAGTCCATCTTTGCGAATCTGATAGCGTCGAGGATGTCTTGCATATGTAGTGTCTCACCTGTTTTCCCCAACGCAATGTTGTCATAAATAGTGTCGTTGAATAGCACACTATGCTGCTCCACAAGGGTAATATTTTTTCGCAGCCATTGCACATCTAAATTCTCAAGTGGAACGCCATCAAGAAGTATCCGGCCAGAGGAGGGGTGATAAAAGCGGACCAAAAGTTGACCTAGGGTGCTTTTGCCAGAGCCGCTCTTTCCGATGACGAAAGTCGTTTCCCCTGCTGGTATGAACAGGGAGACATCACGGATTGCTGACTCTTCTGTGCGAGAAGGGTAAGAAAAATCGACCTATTTTATCAGCAGTTTCTAAAGACGAGGCGAGACAGGCATACCTTGCTGAATTCAATAGTGCCAAGACACTGAGCAGGTTTGATATGACCTCGCGATTCCAGCTGTTGGTCAGATGTGGGATTATGTTCCATAAGCATAGCCAGATTGGCACCTGCCTCCCGGCCCTTGGTCAAGACTACCCATTGAGGCATCACTGACGCCAACGAGGACGTTGCCATCAGGACTGACCAGAAGGTGGTCAGGATGTCTGAGGCTTCACCATCTCCATTACCAACTAGGTATTTACCGTACCAAAAGCCTTGGACGAATATACTGATGGTAAAGAACTGCATGATTCCAATTTGCATTGATCGGAAATTCGCTACCCGTCTATAGAGACGTGCTGCAAGACCGGCAGTCTTCTCGAATATGTGGAGCTCGTACTGTTCACCGTTAAGACTCTTTACTGCCTCAATATTGGATATCGCTGTTGTCATATTCTTCAACGCAGCCTGGAGCATTTCGGACTGTTCGCGTGTTCGAAGCAATTGTCGGTTCGCAACCAGTGTCAGAAACAAATACAGGAATGGGATACTGCTCATCACAACCAGTGCTAGCTTCCAAGAAAAGTAGAAAGCGACTCCCAGAGCTGCAAGGCTCTGAATGACTGCTTGACAGAATTCGCCTAATGGCGATGATACCGAGAGCTTCAAGCCACGAATGTGCCTGCATTTTGTCAGTTGAAATGAGCGATGTTCAGGTTCCGGCTAGTCACTTACGCTTGCACTGTTGACAGAAATGCAGCAGTGCCAGTTTCGCGCGTGTCAAACCACGCCATATCTTTCTTGATAAGAGCTTCAAATGTCCGATTACGGGCACTCCGCCCCTGTAGCTCACTGAATGTAAGGAAGCAAGAATATTGAAAACTGTTCGCGATCCAGTTGAGTGTGCAGATCCCTGCAAGTATTATACAGTACCTCGTCATGTTAACCATGAGCGTATGGCTGTCAGTTGAGCCAGCGCCATACATGGTGTACTGCCCAAAGACAAGCCCATAGAGAACCGCGAAGGCGGGCATTGTAAGTGCGGCGACGGTCGTTGATAGAAGGCCACATAGTACTACTGGCACATGGCGTGTTGTGATGAAGCTAAACAGAACCTTCCAGCCAACCTTTGACATGTATTTCTGCTCCTCAGATGCATGTGCGTTCGTTGTCTCAGGGCTATTGGTACCATGCGAAGGCGTGGTGGTAGCCATATTGCCTGCTCAGAGGCTGCGATTGTGTTGAGAATGTGGAGGCGCTATCAGATTGACGCGCAGAGCCGCACATGGATGGAGTTGTGGGATCAAGTGAAAGTGAGGGCGCAAGAGTGCGTTGGGACCAATTGGGATCAGAGCTTATTGAGTACTGGGGCTGCTTCAGTCTGTTTGCAGCTTGCATGAAGCACTCCGTTTTAGACATCGTATTGTACCCGCCCTCGTGACATCTCGATCAGAGGCGACAAAGGTATCAGCTCACTTTTCAAATCACTAACATAGACCATTGTCCTGGAGTCAGCCGCATTTTTGGTCCGAAATATCTAAATTTGGAATGAACGACTGATATTGCACGAGGATGTTCAGCCACGCCCCAGTTGCAAGTTGCTTAAGTAACAAATTCCATTCGCAATCATTTTATAAGAAATAAGGATATTGAGTTATCAAACATTGTGAGCAGTTCGGGGCGTTGCGTATTCTGGGTTCCAAGCCGAAGATTTGTGAGTGGAAACAGCAAAACTCTCATTTCTCCAGACACCGGAGATAGAATTCCTTTTGGATATTTCCTGTTACACAGAAAAATGATATGACATACTTGACTGCTCTTTCTGGGCGCAAGGGATGACCATGTGCGATCTAGCGTGTGGTTGTAAGGACGTTATGAAATAGTTGCTTTCACGTTGCGCGCTGGCTATCCTTAATATTGTTCTCTGCACACAATGGCAAGGCTATTTGGAATCAGTACTCCGAATTCCTCATCCTGTCACTATTGTGGTATTGCTGAACTTGTTACTTGCCACCCAAAACACATTTTGTGACATCCAAAAATTGCTAAATTGAGAATCGAGTGCAGCGACTTGGTCAGTATGTTTTCGTCATATAAGTGAGCAGAATTAAGTATCTGCGCATGAAGCGGCCTTGATTTATTCCCAATCTCAACGTAGTCTGTCATCTCGGACGATTCGCCGGCGTCAATGGTCGCTTGTTCAGGAACGTGCGTAGACAAACAAAGAACCAACTTTCTGATTGGCTTGGTCGAAGGCTAGGCCAGTCGTAGGTTGCATGTAGCTAGTGCAGGTGCACGCTTGAACCCCCAGCAGATGGGGTTGGGTATCTATATTGTGCAAACTGTTATATTTGAATTATTTTCCCTGCGCCTTCTCATAGATCCAGTCGTTCAAGCCTTCACGATTGCTGTTCAAATCAGTATTAATTGGGATTTTGTAGGCGACGCAAACTGACCGTGCAATCTCGATGGCGTAGAACTGCATGCGAACAGCAAATATGGTGCCTTCTTGGTCGTACTCGGTCTTGGGACTTGCGCGGAGCATGGTGCCGAAGTTGTAGTCCTCAACCTTGTGCTCGTACTCGCTGATGAACTTGCGCCACCGCTCCTTGCCCTCTTTGCTCTTCATCTCATCCTCGTTCAATGTGGCAGAGGCGTCGAACTCGGGGAAGTCCTTCTTGAGGTGTTCGTAGATTTCATCGTCGATCTTGGTCAGTCGCAGTTTGGAACCTGGAACTTTTTCAAGAATCTTCCAGTATGTCTCCATGTGCTGCACAACTGCGCACACGTGTTAGAAGAAGTCGCGTTCAATGCGCGTAGCTTGCTGTACCTTTGACGGCGAACTGCTTCTCAATCTATGCCTTTGTTAGTCGGTCTGCACCGGCTTTCGCGCACAGGTGCCCGCCCCACGTACCTCCTCGAAGTTCTCCGTCTCCTCCGGGTTGATGGTTGTGCCTGCTGGACCTGCTAGAGCCATTTTGACGGACTATGCGCAAATTTGGGTGTGGTGGTGAGTGCAAATAAGAAGATGGGTGGTTGTGGTGTGAGCTGTGTGCCGCCACTCAGGCGCATAGAATAGCATGGACAAAAAATCGCAGAAACGCTTCGTCATTGCCCCGCCTTGCACTCGCAACGGAAGTCGCGCGGGGCTGACTCAACCCCAAATTTCCATCTGCCATACTCTCGCACCTCACGTGCCGTCCTTCGTCGCCAATGTCACCGACTCTGCATGTGAGCGCGCATCGAGAAAACCTAGACTGCTACTGATCAAAGCAGCATGAATGCACACGCGTACCCGTGACCGCATTGGCTTCGTGCGGCTCCCTGTACATTGCCGCAGAAGGCCCATTTCTGCGCTTCTATCATGCCAAGGACACACGATGCATTGCTTCGCGGCGCGTCTTCAAGGCGCAAGCAGTGCACGGTATACGCATTTATTCGGAAGAGCATGCACGTGTCTTCAAGCTCATCGCCTGGGGTGGGCGACTAGTTCGTGCCTTTGAGATCCATTCGGCGGCCGATGATCATGAATGCCTGACTTTTTTTCCATCCAACGTTGCTAGAGCGCCAGACTGGATTTTTGACCTTGCACCTAGACCAGCAAGTTTGGCTGATGCCTCTCCATATCAAAAAGCAATATGTGTTGCTGTTACCGCTCATAACGCTCTGCTGCAAGTGACGGTCCAAAAAACCACAGACACAGCGTCCGCAGATGGGTGCGCATGCCTGACGCTATCTTCGCTCAATTGGAACACTTTCACTGACGTACTTCGTTCAGATCTATCTCAGTCAATATCTCAGACTTAACATCAAGTTCTCGATCTATCCTTTACTCTGCACACCTGTTCTGGGAAAACCCAAATCGGGTCCTTGTCGCTGCTGGCACGGCATTTGGCGAGATTATCTACTGGTCATGGTCTGATGACAATGTTGACGGCCAGGCATCTCTTATTCATCGCGTGTTTCTCGGTCATGAAGGGTCTATCTTTGGTGTCTGTATCTCTGAGGAGCTCCCGACCGAATGCTGCCAGAAATTGAGGCGAGTGGTCGCAAGTTGCAGCGATGATCGAACAATTCGAGTATGGGATGTCTCAGACGTTAATACGAATGCTTTAACACCAAAAGCTGAAGACAATGAAGCCGAAGTACCAAGGACGCGTCATACTGGCTTCAGCAATGAGGCTTTTGACGCCCACGAGTTTGGCAGTTCTGATTGTCTAGCCATCGGTTGGGGACATCTTTCCCGTGTCTGGACAATACGCTTTCTCGAAACATCACCATGTAGTGGGTCGCTTTTACTTCAATCAGCCGGCGAAGACGCCACAGCAAGGACTTGGGAGCTTTCTCCAAACTCTGCAAATAAATCCAATCTTCCATACAAATTACTAGAGCTGGACTGTGCCGCACACCATAGCGGCAAGAACATGTGGTCTTCAATCATCGCTCATAATCCCACCGGGTTGCAGCGAGTGATAGCTGGAGGGGCCGATAGCAAGATCACGTCCACACCGTTGCCTCGAGTTTTACAGGCTGCAAACAATATACCCCGCGGTGTCGCCGAATATACAGTGAACGATGTACTATCATGGACACAGTCTACTGTTTCTGGTGGCGCGGATGCTCTATCAACCGATGTTCAAAAATCCTCGAAAAAGGCAGAGTTTTTCAGAAGCTACTGCTTTGTAGATGAGACTACTTTCCTACTTACAACCAATTCTGGCAAAGTATTGGTCGCATCCCTATCTTCTGATTCGAATCGGAACGACACAAGCCTTTTGTCAAGCTCTATCCTCGTTGGACAGCCCGAAGACCTGGCCGGCTATTCGGTTTGTGCCAGTAGCTCTCAACCTGGAATTGCATTCGTCGCAGGCGCTAATGGCAGCATCTATGTTTACCGTAAGAATGCCGCGACATTGACCAAGCTGTATGCAATGGGCAGTAAGGTCGGCGACATATTCGCCGCAGATGTGCTGGAATCTTCCTGCCGGAATGCAACAGTGTTACTCGTGACGCTTGTTGGGCAGGGCAAAGCGCAGTTGTTGTATGTGGATCCTACGCACGATACGGAGATATCAAAACACGTACAAGTACCTATATCAGATCACTTGACGGGTTCCGTTGTTACCAGTATGGCCCATTTAAGAATCTCTGATGGAGAGTTTATAGCTGTAGGGTTTCGACGTGGTTCCATCGCCTTGTACAGCATAGACGTGGATGAAGGCCAAGCCACGTCGGTCAAGGTCATTGAGAAGGCACACAGCAGTGAGACGGTCACTTGTTTGAAATGGCTCGGTTTTCCTGCAGAGTCATCCCAGGCCCAATTGTACTCAGCTGGGCGGGATGGACGTCTTACTGTGCATAATATGGACCTGCCTACAGGATCCAGCACCTTAGTGCACGACCTTGCCCTGCCATTTGGTCCTAATATAGAGGGCCTATATTTGCAGGAGGATCGTCTACTCGTCCATGGCTTCTCGAGTAAGAAATGGTATCTCTACGATGCCACCAACGAAGAAGAGGTGATGAGCATCGACACAGGAGGTGCGCATAGAAGCTGGACATATCGTCCACATTTGACACTGGGTGGAACACTTGTGTGGACTAGAGCCTCTAGTATGCATGTTTATAGCCAACATGGTATGAATCATACTGTGATCCGGTCTGGTGGTCACGGGCGTGAAATCAAAGCGCTCACCGTATCGTCCAAGGACTACTCAAGGACTCGCAAGCGTCTCATCGCCACAGGCGCTGAGGACACGGATATTAAACTATTCCAGTATACTGAGGGAAATCTGGTTTGCCGAAGGACGCTTAGAAAACACACAACCGGTATCCAACATCTCCAGTGGTCAGAGAACGGCGATTATCTGTTCAGCAGTGGCGGATGCGAAGAATGTATGTTCCAGTTTCTCATTCTCTAGTCACAGAAACTGTTACACAATTTGCTAACCATTGCTGTAGTCTATGTGTGGCGTGTCCGAGATTTGCCATCGTCGTCTCTTGACATTGGTGTCGTTTGTGAGAGTATCTATACCCCAGAAAGCGAGTATGCGGATCTAAGAATCATGTCTTTCGATGTGATGACTTGCGGCACTGCCCATTTGATCACAATGGTGTTCTCAGATTCTAGCATCAAGGTAAGAATTCCTGCTCTATTGACCCCCATTGCAGTTCTGGTATTGATATACTTCAGACCTATTGTTACGATCCTGTAGCTGCCACAAAGTGGGTGCCTCTCGGAAAGGGTCTCTATTTCACGTCATGTCTTACACAATGCATACATTTGTCTGCGACCACAATTTTGACGGCTGGTACAGATGGTCATGCCGTGACATGGCCACTACCGGCAATGGCAAATGGCTTGTCTGCAGAATCTGAAAATGTCATATCCAAATTGGCGTGGAACCACCCTGCAAAGATACACCAAAACTCTTCCAAGGTTATGGTGTCTCAAAGCTTGGATGATAACATCACGCTGGTTGTGTCCGGCGGCGATGACGGCAGCCTGGCATTCTTGCTCATGCGCTCTTCAACCTCACTCACAACATCGCCGACGACATCATACGCTTCCCCTCCAACACTCGTAAATCGTACACATGCATCAGCGGTCACGGCATGCGCATTGTATCGGCGCGGGTCTCGCATAACGCTTCTCACATCTGGGAATGACGAGTGGGTTAGGCAATGGGAAATCACAGTACAAAATCCAGACGCCAAAGGCGAGAGTAGCAGTAGGCCGGTGACCGAAGATGCCCTGAAGATCCGGAGGTTGGGCAAAGTCAAAACCAGTGTCGCAGACGTGTCGAGTATGGCTGTGTTGGACACTGGTCATGGTACAACATGTGCAAGGATTCTGATATGTGGAGTTGGAATGGAAGTCATCCGTGTTGAGTGAATAATAGACAATACAATCATACAACGTGCATAGACAGGGCTGTCAGAAGATGAGGCTGCTTGTGGAGAATGGATGGCATTGGGAATAGCGCTGAGTCGCCGGATTATCCGTACCCGTGTTGTTGCAAGACAGCGGTGACGGCGTGGATCTGCCCGTTGCCGGCATTTGCGCGCCACGCCATCGCCGTTGCCGGGACAACATCTACCCCAACACAGTTAGCGGCAGTTTGCGCTCTGACAACACAACACAGGCAAGCACGTCCACACATGCTCAACACATCTTCTCTCCCACTAACAATCCAGCAACCACATACAAACGCCCCAAGATAGCGAACATCGATATCCATCATGGTCGCTACACGTCGCGGTGCGAAAGAGGCCCCAGTGGCCTCATCTGCACCCTCTAGCACCCTCAGTGCCCCTCCCAAGCGCGGCGGCAGAACCAAGGCTGCTGTTGAACAAGCTGCTGAGCCTGCACCAGCTCCCGCGAAGGCCACTAAAACAACCGCTACAAAACGCAAAGCAAAGGCCGAGCCCGAAGACGCTGAGCCACCAGTGGCCAAGAAGACTGTCGTGACAAAAACAACACGCACAACAAAAGTTCAGACAAAAGCAGAGCCAGCCATCGCTGCACCAAAGCGAGCGACGCGCGGCCGTAAGGCTGAGGAGCCTGACGACATAGACGAGCTTCAAGCCGATGAAGAGGCGCCCAAGCCAGCGGTTGTTCGAGCGCGCAAGATCGCTCCAGTGAAGAAGACTGTTGCGTCAAAGGCCGCAGAGCCAGTGGCCGCAGAAGACCCAGTCGCTCAGGAGTCTATTGTCGAGGAAGCTCCAAAGGCCGCGTCACGGGCGCGCAAGGCCCCCGCCAAAAAGGCACCTGTCACCAAAAAGACCGAGGCTCCAATCGTCGAGGAGCCCGTCGCCGTCGAAACCACCAAGCCAGCAACCCGTACGCGTAAACCGGTAGTACCCAAAGCTTCAGCCTCGGCGCCAGCATCGAAAGCAGCACCTGCGCCTGTGCCTGTACTTGCGCCAAGAACTACCCGCGGACGAGATGCCCCCATAATTTCACAAGAATCACCTCTCAAGGCGCCGGCCCGTAAACCTACAAAGAAGACTGTTACCATCTCAACTCCAAAGGCTGAGCCAGAGCCAGCTGAAGAAGTAGTTGAAGAGGTTGTTGAGATGTCAGTCGAGAAGCCTGCCGAGGAGCCAGCCGAGGAGTTGGTCGAGGAGCCAGTTGAAGTCGCTATGGCTGAATACCCGGAGTATCCTACCACACCCGCACATATCGCAGCGCCAATGACCTCAAGGAAAGCTTTGGCTGAGCTTCCCAACTATCCCAACACCCCATCACACATTGTTGCGCCAGTCTCTAACAAGGACGCGCTTGCGGAGCTCGCCGGATACCCCAAGACACCAGCACACATCAAGGCTCCCATCAGCTCAAAGGATGCTCTGGCTGAAATGCCTGGTTACCTCAAGACACCTGCGCATATCAAGGCCCCCATAAGCACCGAAGCCGCCCTTGCCGAGATGCCCGACTACCCTGAGACGCCTGTTCACATCAAGGCCCCAATTAGCTCTGAAGCTGCACTGGCCGAGATGCCGGATTATCCAAAGACACCCGCACACATTAATGCACCTATGAGCACTAAGGATGCTTTGTCTGAGATGCCAGGATACCCCAAGACACCAGCTCATATCAAAGCTCCCATTTCTATCAAGGACGCAATGGCTGAGATGCCCGACTACCCGAAGACACCAGCTCACATTCTTGCACCTGTCATCCCTCTCACCGAAGAGAAAGAGGCTGAGGCTGTTGACCACGATGTCGAGATGGGAGACGCACAGGAGGCTTCTCTATCCAAGCATGATGAGGTTATGAATGATGCAGAAGTCGAGGCTCTTGTCTCTACAGATGCACCAGCAGAATCTCAAGACGCTGCAGCTCCTGCCGTCAACGAACAAGAAGAGGCTGAGAATCTTCCATCTACCGCAGACAATTCCACTACACCAGCAGCCAAGTCTCCTCTGCATGTGCAAGCCGAGACACCCTACCACACTACCACTCCTGCCCCAGAGGCATGTGCTGATCTCCCGGGAACCCCTCCTAAGCAGATTGTATGGGGCGTCACTGACCAAGAAGCTTTTGAGGAGCTCCCCGCTGAATACCCGGCTACCCCATCTCACATCACTGCTCCAGTCACATCGCAACAAGCAATGGCAGAACTCCCCGGTTATCCAAAGACTCCTGCTCACATTGTGGCGCCAATCACTCCGCGCAGGGCTCTCGCTGAGTTGCCAAACTACCCAACTACGCCAAGCCTTGCGCTTGAGGCTGCTCTTCAGGAGGAGATCACTGCATCTGTCAAGAAACAAACGCCTTCACCTATACGCTATTCCAGCCGTAAGGAGAAGGTCTCTTTTGGTTTCGAAGGGACTAGCGAGATTGGTGATGCCAGTGAGATTACCGAAGCTAGTGAATTCAGCGAAGTTGATGTTGTGAGCGCCATCAAGGCCCCTTCTTTCAGTGACCTGAAAGCAAGCATGCCACTCAAACCCCTCCAACTCGCTCCCATGTTCGCAGCACCCGAGCCAGCATCACCTAAGAAGTCCGCGCTGAGATCGCCAATGAAGGTTATGGACACTAAGACTCCGAAGAAGTCTGTCGCTTGGACTGATGTTCAGGCTGACGAGAGCGAGATATTCATGGATGACGGTATTCTTCAAGGCACAGTCTTCTACGTCGATGTCACTCGTAACGGAAAAGAGCAAAACTTCTTGTTCCGTGGTCTTCTGGAGGACCTTGGTGCTAAGGTCGTCAAGGACATTTCACATGCTTCTCTGACTCACGTTCTTTTCAAGGATGGAAGCATGTCGACGCTAGAGAAGTGTCTCTCGAGCAAAGGTGCTATCAAGTGCGTCAATGTCGGTTGGGTCTTGGACAGCGAGTCGAACAAGAAGCGTATGGATGAAGATCCCTATCTGGTTGATCTCTCCGTCGCTAAGCCTGCGTCTCCACTCCCAACCACTACCATGAAGCCCTTCACACCTGCCAAGACACCCTCCAAGTACGCTCTTCCTCCTTCGTCTCAGTGCAAGATGCCTAGCACTCCTACCAGCTCCGAGTTTGACCGTTCCTTTAACGACGATAAGGAGAACAGTGAGGTCGGCGCATTCTTCGACAGGAGCCCCCTTGCTCCTCGCACCGTCCCTAACAAGAAATCCACTTTCTTGTTCAGCAAGGCTGCCATCAAGACTCCCTCTAGGCCACTCTTCCTCGCGGCTACTCCATCAAAATCGGGCTTCTCGGCTATCAAGCCTGCTCCTCAGGCTTTCTCGACAATCAAGAAGCGTCCAGTAGATTCTTCTCTCTTCAACAGCTCTCTGGGCCCGCCTAGGAAGCTGCGTCTCTTTTAAATTTTAGATTGGGTGGTACCGACAGTACGAAGCTATGCTACCTGTGGGAGCTTGAGACATGATGCATGCATTGGGTGGTTCGGTGTTAGGATAATGGTGTTCGGTGCTTCTTGTTTTTTTGTTTTTCAAGGTTACCAGCAGGTGTGGAAGCTGTGCTTTTGCTTCCAACTCTTTTCCCCTTCTTCATCGCGGCAGCGATTGGCTTCCAGTCTGAGTTGCAGCCTCCTCGCAAGAGCTGGCGCCCGTGGAGTTGCCTTTTTGCCTGCCAGGTGTAGTGGGAGAGAGGTAGTTGCGTCTTTGCATGCTTTTAGCACCTGCCTGGTTTCTGATATGCGTCTTTTTGGGTTTGTTGGTGTTTATGGAACATGGGTACAGGATACGGCAGGGCCTTGCATGGACGGTGGGACGGCGTTTTCCACACATATTCACTCCGATGGAGGTTGGAATTACTCGAGTCTTTTTTTTTTCCTTTACTTCAGCTCTAGTCACGTTAAGACAGACGAATGAGGCTTTGAATACTTCAATGCTGCCTTCTTGTTCAACAGATGTTTCTTCGTTGTGATCCACCGTGAAAAAAAGATCTATCTAGTAAATGAAGGTGATCTATATCTAACCCATATTCTTTCGCTCTATGGACGTTCATCCCCTCCCCCCCCCCCCCAAAAGCAACCCCTCTTCAAAGATGCAACTTGGCCTCCTGCTCCCAAAGCACCTCCCTAATAAACCCCACCAACGCATTCACACTCGCCTTCTGCGTACTCGGCAAAAAATGGCCTCCAGGGTGATACACGACGTACTTGTCCTCTTTCCTCTTACACCGCTGCACCAGCGCCAGACTCCTCGCCTCCTCAATCACGACATCCTGGGTGCCCAAAAAATGCAGCATGGGGGTCTCAATCTCCGGGTCGTAAAACGCCATGTACGGGGACGTCAACGTGTTGCCATTTTGCATGGGTAGTGGAAAGGCGGCGAAGCCGCTGTATGAGACTGCGAATTTGAGCGGGGGATGGATGTTTCCGTCAAAGGAGGCGGGAAAGGGTATTCCAGTGCCAGCAGCGTGCTGTGCATCGAATGCGTGCTTGCGCTTTGGTTCGAGTAGCGAGGCAACCATGGCTGTTGCAGCTGCGCCCTGGGAAAATCCAATGACGCCGTCGAACGGCCCTTGTTCTTTTAAGATGGCAGCGATATGCCCGAGACCCTCGTCTAGGCCGTCAAAATGGTAGATGTCATTGCTGGGGCGCTTGCGCCACCAGGCCCAGGCGTCGAGTTCTTCGTCGGCGTCCGGGGCGGAGGTGCGGTCGGTGACGGCGCCGGTGATGAGGGAAAAGTCGGTGGGGGTGAGGCGGATCGGGGCGGTGGGGTAGACGAGCTCGATGCCTTTGGGGAAGGCTTTGTTTAGGGTCTTGCGGAGAGCGCCTGTTTTGGCTTGGAATAAGGGTCCGGATTGTGTGTAGCCGTGCAGCATTAGGATCTTAATCGGCCGGTTGGGCGCGGGCGCAGCGGCGGCCATGGTGGGCCAATGGGAATGAATGCGGAGATTGGTGCGTGTGTAGAGGCGGGGGTCTGCGAGGGAGAGGTGCTGCAGGCGCATACAGTAGCTACAATTGGGATAATTAGAGTCAGTGAGAAGGTCTGCGTACTAGTATGGAAAGGCGTTGTACTTCGGTAACCCCGGATGCGGGACGTTCGGGATACCGCGGCTATGTCGTGGCCTCGCGCGACAGGGTAGGCCTAAAGTTTGATGTCATTCCTCAAGACGAACCGCATGAACGCAACATTGAAACTGAAAGAACCAAAGGACTGCCTAGTTTGATCAGATGTCTATTATACATACGCAACTCGCGCGGAACCTTGAGAGCTCGGCAATGTCTAGACTAATCATAACCCTTCTTCATGTATCATGAGTGGTAAGCATAACGAAGTCGATACACAAGTATCTGCCAGTCGGCACGTCTGAAGCGATTCCCAATGGCTCAAGATCTTTAGGGCCCTTATTTCGCCTTGCCCTTAGCTGCCTTGCTCTTGTCCACCTTTGTCGGCTGAATGCGCGCCATCATCTCTTCCTTGGTGATGAGATGGTCAACGCGTTCAAGAAGACCTAGCAAGCTCTTCATATTACTACTCCACTCGTTCAATACGTCGTCGGCGTCCCGGGGCCTCGAGAATGTGACAATGCGAGCTGGACGGTCAATCTTGGCGTAGATGGTCTTCGCAGACACCAGCTCGCTAATGTTCTTCTCTGTTTCGTCTTCGGTCAAATCCAGCAGCTCGGTGAGGCGCGGGATCTGGATACGTGTGTAGTACTTGGCCACCACGCGGACATTGTGCTCAATGACGCGCTTTCGCAGATCTTGCCACCGCTGGAATGCCTTTGGATCATCTGAGTCGCCTTTTTCAGCGTCGAAGACGTCCGTTTCAGTGAGGTGAGGGCCAAACTGCTTGGCTACCATTGGCCACCTCATAAGCTCAGGCACAGTGAAGAGTTTCACCAATTGTGCGTCTTGTGGGATTTGAGAGTTTCGCGAGTCGCGCTGGATACGGTGGATGAGGTCGGACTGCTCGTTGTCATACGGAGCGAGGATGATGAAGTAGATGACGCGTTGAAGAATCTGTAGGGTCAGCATTTGTCCAAACATCAAAGAGGGGTATCGCATACCGCCCGAAGCTTGGCTGGGTCTTCTTCAACAGCCTCTGTGTCTAGTACCTGGCGGTAGTGCTTGCAGACATCGAGGTACTTATCGTCGTGCTTCGCCAGGAGAATCTGCTGCTCATAGTACTTGAGCTTGAGATCCGTTACGTCATCCTCTGGCTCAATCGGAGGGTCATCTACGCTTCGGTTCTTCTCCTTCTCCTCGCGCTCCTTCTGCTCCTTCTCTAGCTGCTCGGGCGTCTTCTTCGGTTTTCGTGCAAAGTACCGTGTGCTGATCTTCCTGCTGAGAATACCAGCCTGTGTCCAGTCACCCTTCTGTATGCATAGCGCCACTTGTTGTAGGATGAACTCGGTCTTCTCTCGCCGGGTCATGGAGCCGAACGTCTCGACCTGGAGCTCGCAAAGGATGTTTGTCGCAGAGTCGATATCGCCTTGCTCCTTCTTGATGTTGGAAAGTATACGTGTTACCCGCGCTCGCTCAACTTCGACAAAAATCTAATAATGCATTAGCAGTGTCGAGTGTAATATCCATTGTCGCTGCTCACCTTGCCCTCGGTGACAGTGCGCAGTGTCTCGATGACCGACAGCTTTGTCTCCAGATTTGGCGTCTCATCCAAGAATCCCATGACGGTCTGCACCATCTTGGTGGTCGCTTGCTTGAGCTGTCCATGCTTCTTTGAAAGGAGCAGGACCTGCTCATTCATCAAGTTCCAATCCTTTGCATTCTTTGCTATTGTGACGATGGCAATGATGACTCTGGAGGTGGAGGCGAGATCAGAAGCCTAGGTAGTGTTAGAGCTTGCTTATGCGCGCGAGATATGTGCGGGTCTACCTGGCGAGTCTGCTTCTCGAGTGCGAGCAGCTTATCGATTCCAGCTTGGGGATTGCTCTAAACAAATGCATTAGCTTTTGCCGGACAATAGAATGGCTGTCCAACATACAGAAGCTAACTTCTCCGCCTCTGGAATCGCCGCATCGACCTCCTTGGTAAAGTCCTTGTCGGCCTTGAGCACCTCTCCGGCAGACATGGTGGCGGGGTCGTGATGTAGCTTGTTCTGAGTGCTGCTTTACTTGTTCGCTCTCGGATAAAGCAGTCGCAGCGGGTATGAGGAAGCTATCAAAAGAACAGAGAGGTGGGATGAAGCCGCGTTGTGTTGTTTGGTTTGGTGTTGCGGCTGTCAGTGATGTAGAGAGATCCACGGCTAGCGCTTGGACCACCCACCGCTAGTACGGTTGAACCATACACCGACGACTCCCGTCATCACGATGTGTTCCGTCCAGCACTACAGATTCTTTCAACTTGCACGCTCTTTTACTAACTTTCTCGTTTACTCTTCAACTTAACTTATATCATGCTTCATGTAGTAACATTATGTGAAATTCTGTTATATGTGTTCTACTGCGGTGGCGAATAATTACATGTCTAGATCCACACTCAAGACGTGATTCTAGTTTCCCAAACCCACCTTCTGTCTATGGGAGACTACAAGGGTTTGGAGCACAAGTGAACGGGTTTGATCGTACTTACATCAACCTCGACTTAGCACCTCGTTTTCAAAATCCTTATGTCGCATTGCGATGTAGCTTACATAGGATATTCGATAGCCCAGTCACTTGTACGAACAACAACCTCACTCACATGGCTTACTCTTGGTTGCGCAAACTTAGCTAATGCCTCGAGCTCGCGTACGTATCTTTTGCTATCATGGTCTTCGGAAGCAAGATCATTGTTGAGGCTAATCTGTTTAATAGCGAGCACATTGATGGCGCCGGGTCCTTCGATTACATACAGTGTGAGCCTGGTGCGAAGCCGCAAATACTGAAGCACAACGTTCGCGATCTTGTAAGGAAGCTTCAGGTAGACGATCCATACACTTTCGGCTTATTAAAGTGCAAGGGCTTCGTCGCGGAAACAGTCCCAGCGGGATATGCAGAACTTCTCTCGCTGACGCTAGTCTTTAGAGAGCCTCCGGGCCCTAGAAGCCTGCGAGAGATTTTGCTCAATACACCGACATCCACATCAACTACACGGCGGCTCGAAATCACACGAGATCTGGCCAGGTCCGTTGGTTATGTGCATACCTTTTGTTTCGTACACAAAAACGTTCGTCCGGAATCGGTCCTCATCTTTGATCGTGCCCATGGAGGAGACATGGCTGGGATCCTAGTTGGTTTTGAGAATTTCCGACGAGACGAAAGGCTGGACAGCGAGGCGAGGCGACAATGTACCGGACAAAAATCTGCACAGGCATCCACCTCGACAAGGTTTCAGTCCTCACGACGACTACGAGATGCACCACTATATATACAGTTTGGGCGTATGCTTATTGGAAATTGGTCTCTGGGGTAGCTTCGTCGAATACGATCCTACAACCGGGGCGCATAGCCTTTCGCAACTGCTCACGGCCAGGTCTGAGAAAGATAAAGATCTTTTCGTCGCTCTCGCTCAATGTCCCCTGCCAGGAAGCATGGGCGATACGTATGCAGAGATTGTAGAGACCTGTTTGACGTGTCTTGATCCAGGTAATGTTGATTCTGGAGATGAAAAGGCGTTTGAAGACGAAGACGGAATCCTTGTTGGAGTTCGCTACATTGAGAAGGTTCTTCTTCGTCTAGGAAAGCCGATTATGTAGCCTGTTAAGGTTGAGGTGACATCGAGAGGCTTTCCGCTTTGGGAAGGTATTCTGAAGCCCTTCAGAGGGCATGCTGCAATAGGAAACCGAGTGACTACCACCAGACCATCGGCCTTTACGTAGTGTTTTAGGCTAGATAAATCTTGGTGATTTTCCGGCTATCGCTTAGGAATCACGGACCCTGTTATTTGATTTTCAGCACGACTTTCTCAATAAGACACTTATATGTTTGCCTTTCCATGATCTGCTCAATATCAACACCCCCACAACAAAATCCCTCAATCTACTCCTAGTTCATAAATAACTTATTTCCATCTAGTTCTTCTCATTAGAACCCCGACCACCAACCTTGAAAATATATCAAAGTCACCATATCCATTCTACAACGTCACAGTCATTATAAACACCACACTAGCAATCCACCATTATGACACAATGGTACCCGAGAATCGCCCATCAGTATTCAGCACCACGAACTGCCCACCAATCCACATACACTCTCTTTAAGAAAAAAACCCCCCCCCCTCTTGATTGTACGTCCTGGTGGGGATGTATGAAGCAAGGGTCAGAGTGGCAGCTTACAGCATACGTCTTTTGCAGGTCTTGGCCGAAGATGCTTCTTTGAGCCTGGACAGCAGCGTACTGCACGACGTCATGAATGTCCTGCAGTGTAGCGTTGAGGGTAGACTCCAGGAACGTCTTATACTTTCTTTTGGCCGGAGCCGAGCGGATAGAGAGCGGTTGCCCAGCATGCGGCTTGCTGATTCGGTAACTGATACCACTGATAGACTCAATCGGCTCTGTGCTAAGCGATGATGGAGTGGGTTTTAGAGCACTCACATCCCAGAGCGGTCACTCCACCCGTTAGGGCCGTCGGGGTAAGCGCGAGATAGTGTGCACTAAATAGCAGGCTGAGAACGCCGATATAAGAGCATAGGGTACGGGCCAGGTCATTGCACTGCAGAGTTTTGTTAGAAGCAGTGTATAATGTGGATTGAAAAAAAATATACTTATGTTGATGTACTGGTAAAGCGACTCTTGATGGGCTATTGTACGTTTAGCATCGCTGTGGTTGTCCTGCGCATCTAGTAACTCTGTCTTACCTATGATTTGCTTCAACGGTCCAGGCTGTGGTTGCGTCGGACGAGCATTCTCTTGCAAAGCACTTTGAATTGTCGAAGCGACTGTGTTCACATTGGATATCAGTCAGTATGATGGAACCAATTGACGATGCATCTAGGCTTACTCTCTGTTTGCATCCTGGCCAGGCTGTCGAGTATCTTCGTCTGCTACTGGTACAACAATAGCGTTTTGCGTACTCATGGTGAATTTTGTTTGTTTCGGAATGGTTGTGCCATCTAGAGCAGAGCACTATTGTTGGATTGTATCACACCAGGAACCCAAGGATGTATCATAGTAATTGCATTCAGTGAGACGACTATGACGATGAAGGTTTGCGACGTTGGTGCAACTACCCGCCAAGGGTAAGCATCCTCTCATGCAATCAATGCGATGCTTCAGTCTGATTGACCAGTTGCCTTCTGCTTGAGTGATCCCACAGTGCATGATATATGTGGCGAGCAGCGTCTAGAATGCATAGCCCAAGACGTAGGACCACAAATCTGCTTCATGAACAAATAGGATCAGTATCAAGTCTCAGTTGCCATGAAATCAAACCCGCGGAGAGCTACAGATATCCCGATACGTAGGTGTGTTGTGATCACTAGCCACACCCAGATCCACTTTTGTACATCATCTGTGCCAAGGCTGGCTGTGGCACTGGTGTAACAAGCGGGCAGACCCACGTAGGCCCAGCCCTACGCTTTCACGTGCAATTACTGTTGACGATGTCACAGGTGTGATGCTCAACACATGTTGGCAACGACATAAGACCAAGGTAAGTATTTCCTCATAGAAAGCTGGCCCATGTAAAGGAACACAAGAATACCAGTGGAACAGTGTAGTCCTGCTTGCTTGCGCCACACCCACCCACGACGTGTTGGTTTAGTCACAATAACCATTTGAGAAAAAAAACAAGGATACTTTCGCAGTTATGAAATATAGATATATTGAGAAAATCCTTATATGATACAGAAGAAATGTCAAAGTGCGCTCGCGAGGTACGCACATACTCAGAGAAGCTGCAAAGTGCTTGTAGAGGTCAGGAGTTTAAAAGTGCGGGGTGTTGAGTGCCATGAGGCAGAGGACACCGGAGATAAGACCAGCGATAGGAAGGGTAAGAACCTAAGCCGTGTTAGAAAACGACAAAGCAAAAAATATTTCGAAAAGACGTACCCATCCAGAGAAGATGAAGGCAATCTGGCGCCAGTTCACAGCGCCAAGATCGTAGTTCATCAGGGCAACGCCGACGGCTGATCCAGTCAAGCACTGAGTGGTCGACACAGGCAATCCAAGCCTAGAAGCAAGCAAAACAGTGACAGCAGCGCCCAATTCAACTGAAAACCCACGAGTGGGCGACATTTGGGTAATTTTATTGCCAAGCGCACGAACGATGTGGTAGCCATAGAACCAAAATCCGAGACCAAGCAAGAAACCAGCCACGATTAACATGAAGATGGGAGTCCTTGATCTAGTGGAGACCTCGCCTTCGAGGTAGGTTTGGTATACGGCCGACCAGGGGCCAACAGCGTTGGCTACGTCGTTGGAACCGTGCGCGATGGACATCATCATGGCAGAGACAACTTGGCAGTAGGTCCAAAGGTGCTCAACACGAACGTCGTAACGCTTGGCCTTGGAGTGGATGGCACGGAGCAGATCGTTGTCGTGCGTAATGACGTCGATAGAAACACCTCGCAGAAACCCGAATTTGAGATAAGCCCACCACTTTTGGGGGTTGAACCAAGACAGGGACTTGACGGGAACAATCCAGCGTTCATAAGGCTCGGGCTTCTTCCGGACCAGATGCACAGGAGCGTTGGATGTCTCTTCTACACGTGGCTTCTCCGGGTCACTTGGCAGATGGCCCTCGTTACTTTGCTTGATCGAGTCTGATGGGGATCCATCGCCAGGCTTGTTGATGCTTCCGTCTTGGGTAGAGACTTTGCCAGCGTTCTTGTCCTGACGTGTTCCGGCATGAACCTGTCCATAGGCGTCGGCATAGTAATCGGTAACGTATTCGTCACCTTTTCCAGGCCAAAAGAGTTTGATGTCTTCTTTGAGAAGCCTGGGGCCAAGAATAATGTGCCAAACGCGGACACGAGGATCTTTCATGATCAACTTGCGTTTGAAAAATGGAACGAAGAAGATGTAGCAGATTGCCAGACACCCAAAAAAGACACCAAGGATGATACTCGTGGCTTTTCCGGCACCAAACTCTTCGAGTGATGGTGCGGTAGGGGCTTCCACCACAATGAAGAGGGCAAGGAGAGCTCCGGTAATGGCAAAGTAGAAGGGAATAACGCGCATGGCATTCTTGAACGGATCCTTTCGCTCAAGAACCAAGTACTTGACTGTACCGAAGATTATGGCTGAGAAGGCAGCAGCAATCAATGGCGCAATGGCCCAGGAGGCGGCGACTTGTGATAGGGAGCCGTCTTCCCAGGCCCACTTGGCATCAGTCTGACTTGCAAAGCCGGCTCCAACAATGGCGCCGACAACAGTCTGAGTAGTGGAGACGGGCATGCCTAACTTTGTAGCAAGCATCAACCAGGTGGCACTACCGACCTCTGTTGATTTTTAGCCCGGTGTTTTACAGTTGTTAGCGTATGTTCTTACCGGCACAGCCCATGATCAGCATGAGTGCCCCTGGATGGCCTGTGAAGCGATCGACTTTAATGATACCATTTTTGATGGTCGAAGTGACACGGGCACCGAGCGCAACAGCACCAACGAATTCTGTGACAATGGCAAGTGGCCCAACTTGAGCCATTGTCAATGTTCGCGCCGCAACAGAGGCTGTTTTGATGGTCAGTCGGCATGCTTGTCGTGAGCGTGAGCCTGTTGTTACTCACTAGCATAGGCGTTGGCGACATCATTGGCACCGTTTCCAAAGGCAGAGAATATAAAAGCGATGGTGGTGATTGCAAGGATCCAGTCATATTTTGCCGTCACTGGAGACGCCATCTTGACTGTACAGCTGTGAGCCTGTGCTAGAGTAGTCCCAAAACACTGGAAACACTGTCAACTTTATATGGCAGTTGTCTGCATCGAGCATGCAGGGTAGGAAAAGCCAAGTCGATGGGCCTTGGACAACGACAAGAAGCGCCAAGGATAGCAGAATGAGCGCCGAGTATCAGGTTGCCGATTGGATCGAGGCTTCGTGGTCTTGGGCCATTTGAGTTCACTCTCGTAATCGTGTTTCCGCTGGTGGAAAGGTTCCGCCAAGTGCATAGGATGCGCCCAGAGTTTCCGCTCTCTTGTCTCCGCTTGGGGGTTGCATTGGCTGCAAATCCAACCAACCAATGAGGGGTTTCTATTGAGGCACGCGTGTGGGTCGTTGGATATCGAGTTTTGGTATGTGTGGAAGAATCTGGCATGCCTCCTTTGCTGTTGGTCTTATTGGGTGCGGCTTGAGCGAGATGGCGTTACTGTGTGGTGCAAAGGGGAGAGACAATAGTTGCTGCCAAGAGCAAACGAAGAATCAGTATTCCAGCTACCTGGCGTAGGACTCGTGCTGTGTTCGCATGGGCGTATTGTGAGCACATGGCCATGGTGGTTTCAACGCGACATATCCCTTTGTTTGGCTGGCATGGGTTCATGATTTCCTGATATTAGCAGTCAATTGGACTAGCCATGCGATCCTGCAGGCCGAGATAAGCCTGAAAACAAAGGCGTGCACACACTGTAAGCATGCGCCTAGGAGACGATGATTGTTGTCGAGGGTCACGTGCTCTGTGCGGCGGGCAACCCAGCAACGCTAGCAACGCTTGCCAGGGCGGTCCGGGGTAATAAGTACTTTAGTTGGGATGTTGGGAGCTCCCGAGTACTTATGTATGTACAGAGACTTTTGGGCCCGGCAGCTGCAGCAAGTGCCGAACCCAATTTCACACATACATATGCATCATGCGTATATGAGCATCACATACATGCCCTTACTGGCCCTGTGGTGGTGTGGCAGCTGGGAGGGGGGGAGCTTGAGGCGCTCAGCTGAGATGGGTTGCGTCATCTCCCATGTCACTTTGCTCGGGCAGGGCGGATAGGGCGAAAGCCAGGGGACAACAATGAGGCGAGCAAAGGCGGATGCAGTCAGGCCAGTGCAGGAGAACAATCGGCAGCAAGAATGAAAAGGCGGCAGTGAAGAGACGGGCGACGGACGGCTCGGCTGAGCAATTGTTGTTTCTGGCGTGGGCGGCTTTCCCCACGCTCGCGCTCTCGCTGTAAGATACCCCCGCCAATGGGTCGCTGTTAAAAATTACCTAGCTTATTACCTCCGAGCTCGCAACCTGGCCACCAGCTTTGCTCCTCGGACGGCGTGCCGGTCGACTCACCACACGCTCCCCAGGGTCAACCCTCTTCTTCACTGACCTCTGCGGCTCCTCTCGAGGCCAATTGCACTCGCTCGCCATGGCCACTGTCAAGGAAGAAGTGCGCGAGGTGCTCCTCGGCTCCACCGAGGAGCCCCAGCTGTCGCAGCTCACGCGCGCCGCCTTTATGAAGCACGCCCAAAAAGACGAGTCGGGCGAGTACTACCTCAACGAGGACCAATTCATCACGGCCGTTGCCCCCGAAGGCGAAGACTATGTAAGCAGCTGGCAGGTGCAGTCGTGCGTCAAATAGTCCCGCTAACGCTGCGCCCGCTTCTAGCACAAGATCAAGCGATATCAGTATGGCATTCTCTTCCAGGTGGCCGACCGCGACCAGAAGGGCAAGGTCAACATGCACGACTGGTCCGTCTTCCAGAACCTGCTTGCAAAGCCCGACGCCGAGTACGAGGTCGTGTTCCGCTTCTTTGACAGGCGGCGCACCGGTTACATTGACTTTGACGAGTTCTACCAGACATGGAAGGCACACAAGACAGAGGACAGCCTGCCCTTTGACTGGGAGGGCCAGTGGGCGACGCTGTACATTGGCTCCAAGAAGCACAGGCACACGATGACGTATCCCCAGTTTGCCCAATTGCTGCGTGGACTGCAGGGCGAGCGGGTGCGCCAGGGCTTCACTTACTTTGACCGCAACCAGGATGGCTTCATTGAGCCAGAAGACTTTCAACGCATAATACGCGAGACTGCAAGCCACAAGCTGTCCGACTACCTGCTCGAGAACCTGCCCACATTATGCAACATTTCGGTGGGAAGCAAAATCTCATATGCCAACGTGCGCGCTTTTCAGAACGTCATTCAGCAGATGGACATGATTGAGCTTATTATCCGCAACGCGGTGCAAAAGAGCCCCGACGGCAAGATCACGCGCACCGACTTCCTCAATGAGGCAGCTCGCATAAGCCGCTTCAACCTGTACACGCCCATGGAAGCAGACATTCTGTTCCACTTTGCTGGCTTGGACGAAGCGTCTGGCCGGCTCGGTCTGCGAGACTTTGCTCGCGTGCTCGACCCGTCGTGGCACAAGATTGGCTCTCTGGCCGGAGCAGCGGTTGCTGATGCAGGACAAAAGGTGTTTGCGAGCACAAAGTCAATATGGCACGACGTGCTGGAATCTGTGCACCACTTTGCGCTGGGATCGCTAGCTGGTGCGTTTGGTGCGTTTATGGTGTATCCCATTGATCTGGTCAAGACGAGGATGCAGAACCAGAGAAGCTCTGGTGTTGGTCAAGTGCTGTACAAGAACTCGCTCGACTGCGCCAAAAAGGTCATCAAGAACGAGGGATTCAAGGGCCTCTACTCGGGCGTGCTTCCCCAGCTTGTGGGTGTAGCGCCGGAGAAGGCCATCAAGCTCACGGTCAACGATCTGGTGCGAGGCAAGCTGACGGACAAGTCAACGGGGCAGATCAAGTTTGCTTCTGAGATGTTGGCGGGTGGCACTGCGGGTGCCTGCCAAGTGGTAAGTGATGCTGGGGGTTGTCGGGCAGGGAAGTGTAGAGGGAGGCAGAGGGGCTAACGTGGCACACTGCAGGTATTTACCAACCCGCTGGAGATTGTCAAGATTCGGTTACAGGTTCAGGGCGAACTGTCCAAGAACGTCGAGGGTGTTCCGCGGCGGTCAGCCATGTGGATTGTGCGGAATCTGGGTCTTGTGGGCCTGTACAAGGGCGCTAGCGCGTGTCTGTTGCGTGACGGTAGGTGTTTGTGTGGTGGTGTTGGGGTTGAGGTCGAGACCATGGCTGACGAAAGGTGTTTTTTGCTCTAGTGCCCTTCTCGGCCATTTACTTTCCTACGTACAGTCATTTGAAGAAGGACTTTTTCGGCGAGAGCCCACAAAAGTCGCTCGGGGTTGTGCAGATGCTGACTGCGGGCGCGATGGCGGGTATGCCGGCAGCGTACTTTACCACGCCATGCGACGTGATCAAGACGAGGCTGCAGGTGGAGGCGCGCAAGGGCGAGGTTGCATATACTGGGCTGCGACACGCGGCAGTGACCATCTGGAAGGAGGAAGGCTTCAAGGCGTTCTTCAAGGGCGGGCCGGCGCGCATTATGCGGTCGTCGCCGCAGTTTGGCTTTACGCTGGCCGGGTACGAGGTTCTGCAGCGAGGTAAGTGGGCGGGTAGAGGCGATGGCGGGGGGCGTTGAGGTGAGCAGAGAAGCTAACGAGAGCACAGCACTGCCGATGCCGGGATCATCGCAGGCGGACGCGTCGAGCCTGGAGCCATCAGTGGGTCTGGAAGAGGCAAAGGCACCGTTGCCGTACCTCCGCAGCCGCAATGCACTCAAGGTGATCCTGGACCTGGATGAGAACTTTGGACGTCCCAAGCTGGCCAAGGATGCAAAGTTTGCGGGGATTCCCGGATTTGGCAGGCGACCGGAGGCTTAGGGCTGCTGGGGCGTAGGCGGTCGGTGGAGGGGAGGGGAGGGGAGGGGAGGCAAAGGGAAGCAGGGCGCAGCCGATGGAGGGTTGGTCTACAGAGGCAGTAGATGGGTAGATGGACACACGATACAATACAATGCATGGATAGAGATGCATGGTCGCGGGCCAGGCGGGGCGGGGGTTGCATGTTTCGTTCTTGTTCTGCAGGTGCGTGTATGTATGTATGTAGTATGTACGTATGGATGCATGTATGTACATAATCAGGGCAAGGTAAGAGGGCGGAATAGGGCCGATGCATGTGCAGGTGGTCGGAGCCGCGCCTCTTCTCTGCTGCTGGGGGGTTTCGTCGTTGCAGCTCGGCACAGGCGACTTTGTTTTTCTGGCCCGCGGGCTACTGGCGAACCCCGTGGAGAGGGCCCGGGCTGGGGGAGGGTGCAGTGTGGGGTCCTGGGCAAGCTAGCGGCTGCAAAAGCGGGGGAGACGACGCTCGGGGCTGGTTGGTGGGAGAGCCTCAACTGTGGATCGGGCTGCCTGCCCTGCCTGCCCTGCCTGCCCTGCTGGCCTGCCTGCCTGCCTGCTGGCTGGCTGGCTGGCTGGCTGGCTGCCCGGCCGCGCCTCTTCGCCCGCGCCTACCCACGCACAACCAGCCAGCACAACCGACGGACGGCCAGCCGGCCAGACGGCCAGCCAGCGACGATGCCGTGGGCGTTGCGGTTGCTGCCACTGCGGTTGCGACTCCTGCCCATCCTCGTCGTGCTGCCAACTCCGGCCCTTCGCCTCTCGCGCCCTCGCTCCTCCTGCTTCCTGCTTCCTGCCTCCTGCCTCCTGCTTCACTCGCTCGCGCTTGTTAGGCCGTCCCTTGCGACCCGAGTTGCGCCCTTTCCCACTCCATGCAGGGCAGCCCGTCCACTCAATCCAGTCAACAACCGCCCACTACCACCACCACAACCCCCCCGCAATCAGCCTCCTCCCCATCCAGCCCACCCCGTCCCTCACCTGTCCTGACCACCACCACCGCCGCTGCCCACCGCTGCACCATCGCCGCCAGAGCCCCGTCACTGCAACACCCGCCCCTCCTCTCTTATGCCCTACGCCCGCGACGCTCCCCCCTCGTCCGCCAGCTCGCCCCAGTTGATGTTTGCCATCGCCACACGCCTTGGACACCGCCTTGAGGCTGAAAAAGAGCCGTCGCACTGGCTCCCTCGGGTATGTTTCGCACCGCGCAGAGCCGCCTGCCTGCCTCCTCCTCCTCCCCCTCCTCCTCCGCCCTCAGTTCCTCTGTTTTGACGTATTGGCTTTTTTTCCTTCTTCTCCTGCACACCCACCTTGCATCATCTGCTCCACATGTAATTCTCCATGGCTGCCCTCTGGCCCGTCTTCGCGACATGGCAATGCCCATGACTATCGTTCCTGCTCCACTTGCACTTGCCCATCCCTGTCTGCCCCAGTCGCCTTGCGACTTCTCCGCCTCCACCTCCACTTCGGCCTCGATCAACAACCCAGCCCGGATCAACACGCTCGCACACGACATGACTCCCCCACAGCCATGCTGACTCCAGTCCAGACTGCCATCAAAGACTGCTCTTCCCGTGCTACTCGCTCCTGTCATCGCCCCCGAGGCCTCTGCCTGGGCGCTTTCGCCGAACGGTCTTTGGGATAGCTTTCCCTCGGCCCGCTCGCATTGCTTACTGTATTCTCTCCCTTTGCACCCTTGGCTACCCAGATGCTCGACACCAGCCACTATTACGCAGACGACGACGCAGTTTTGCACTCCCCTGGCCTGACGGCAGTCATTGTCAAGACGACTCCATCACCAACACCGCCACCCATTGGCACTTTAATGTTTGACCCCCCAACCCTTCACCAGACCCACGACGACTCTACTTCTCCAGACCAAAAAGCCCGTCACCCACACCGGCCCCGACCACGCCCTACCCAGGGTGATATGGTCCTGCTCCGGGAGATGAATCCGAACAGGCCGGACATTGCCCTGCAAGCAAGCGAACAGGCCTTAAACTTTGATACCGACTCTGGCAGCGACATGGACGCCGAATCACCAGCCGTGGCCATGGGCCCGTCCGGCTCGAGCCGTGTCAACTCTACGTCAGCCCACTTTCAGTCGCTGGCCCTGCAGCACACTGTACAAGAAGCCCGTGGTCCGAAGCTCGATCCCAAGCATCGAGATTCGGTACTCGAGGACGATTTCAACCTCCGACCTCTGCACCTGCTAGCAGACCGACGCCCATCTCAGACATCGTCTGCGCTTGCCGCACCAAATGGAATGCGTCATGACACCAATGGTATGCACCGCTCTCTGTCTGGCAACTCTGCAGCCTCGACCACGTCACTGCAACCGCCAAATCAGCAAATTGGCGCACTGACAAACGGCGCCTCGCTGGAAATCAACGCGGCGACATCACCAGGCCTCCGACAGTTGACCATTCCACAAGCAAGAGGCCTATCCACCGACACCCTCCCAGCCTTACAAGCCCCGTCTCCCGCACGCGATGGATCGGCTACTTCGCCTGTCCAGCAATTGCCTTCGTTCAGGCACATGGACGACATTGCACGCTCGGCATCGAGCGATCACGAGGCCAACAGAGCCAATGGCTTCGCCCAACGACAGTCTGTGTCTTCGAGTGGGCAGTCGCCAACTTCGAGAGTGCGCCAATTGTCCATTGGTTCGCACTCGCCGGCAACGCCTTTTACCTCGCTGAGCGCTGCATCACTAAGCGCCTCTTCGCCAATGAGCGCCAACGACTCGCTCCAACGTGGTGACTTGTTTTTGAGGACAGCAGGTGGCAGTGTTTTTGGCGACGCGAGAAGACCATCACATGCTGCGTCAGACTGTGCCCCCTACAACGCATTGCAGTCTGCATCGAGCGAGAGTTATCAAAGCTCAGACGGCTTGAGTCCTGCTTCACAACCAACACCCATGGAACAACGCCCCCGCCACATGAGCCTGGACGGTGCACTTGCATCACGAGTGTTGCCCCCTCCAGTGGGCTCTGGCTTGCCACAAAGCATCCCCTCACATGCCACTGGGTCCTTCAAGTGCGACTACCCAGGTTGCAACGCCGCTCCTTTCCAGACACAATATCTTTTGAAGTAAGCGTTATTGTTGGCAACGATTGTTTTATGGCTGACCAAAGTAGCTCACATACAAACGTACATTCGTCAAATCGACCTCATTACTGCCCTGTCAAAAACTGCCCCAGGGGCGAAGGAGGCAAGGGCTTCAAAAGGAAGAACGAGATGATACGCCACGGCCTTGTGCACCAGTCGCCAGGCTACGTATGCCCCTTCTGTCCAGACCGCGAACACAAGTATCCCAGGCCAGACAATCTACAAAGGTGTGTGTGTTGTTTGAATTGATCAATAGTGGTATGCTAGGCTGATCGATAATGTAGGCACGTGCGCGTACATCATACCGACAAGGATAAAGACGATCCTCAACTCCGCGATGTCCTAGCCCAGCGCCCTGAAGGCGGTAGTCGTGGGCGCAGGAGACGTGTGAGCGACTCAGGTCATTAGTATGCGCAGGTTTCCACATGCAAGACGACGTTTCCCTATTTAGTCCCTGTACCTTTTCTCTATACGACGCAATTCACTTCCTTTTTGACTTTTTGTTTTTTTTTCTCATAAGACCGGCGAGTTGTTTTCTAGCGGCTTTACTGGTGGGATTCAGGTAACGGTATGCACATGTTTATAAAGCAGGCGAAAGCAGGCACACAGGATCTGTCTGGGTTTGGGGGTTTTTTTTATTGTGTGTTTTTGCTTGTTCTAGCGCCGAGGATTGATTCTTTGGGAAGGCGGGGGTGGGCAATGTCGATTGTTCTATGGATATCATGTTTGTAATTTTTTTCCAAGTCCACCGGAGATTTTTATATCTCGCGCTTTTTTGCCTCATCTCCAATTCTGCAAAGAGAATGAGTGAGATATGCACAAGGCGGTATAAGGCTATATGTTTTTTGTTTCCTTTCTCACTTTTTTATCTGGAGCTTGAAAAAAAATGGAAAATCAAAATCTATACCTACAAATCATAATCACATGTAGTAATAGAAACTCCATACCTTCCCTTTCTCTCTCTCACACACACACACATGACAACAATAAAAAAAGACACGGGACACAGGACCATGACACGAGCATCACAAGAAAAGAGAAGAGAAGAAGAAAAAAGAGCCCCCTCCCCCCTCCCTCTCTACCTCCTCGCCGCGGCTCCGATCCACATTTTTTCTTAGTCCCTGCTTACTACTACTACTTACTGCGTCTTTTTCTTCTTCTTCTTCTTTTGTCATTATCCCATTTCTGTCGTTTGGATTTTTGTGACCCCCACCCCTTCGCCCGCTCATCATCAAACGAAATAAGTAGTAAGCCAACGCCAGCTATCTAGTTGCGGCTCTCTTTTTTTGGGGGGGGTCTCTCTGTTTTACTCTCGTGCGCGGTGTGCATAGCGCACAAAGACGC